CGAGGAAGGGTCAGGAGATGGTATTTATGGGGCCAAGCCAAAGACAAGAACCTCACTGAGGTTAAGCAAATATGCGACGGTGTTTCAGGCAGAAATTATTGCAAAACATCATTGCCTAAAAGAATTGATAACGCAAGAGTTTAAAGGGAAAACCATTGTAATCAATCAAAGCTAGTATGTGACTGCTCAGAAACACTAAATGAACTGGGCAGTCAGAACAGACTCACTCTAGCATGGGTACCAGCACATACAGGGCAGGAGTGCAATGAAGAGGCAGACTCACTTGCCAGAGCAGGAGTAAACAAAGCTCTGATTGTCCCAGAACCCTGATGTTGTATTTCGAAAGCTATACAAAAGACAAGTATCAAATCATGGATGCAAACCAAATCTCAAGAACGGTGGAACAACTCGGCAGGCATGAGACAGGCAAAAGAGTTTATCAAAAATCATCGCCAACATTCACTGAATATCTACTGAGCCAGAAACGGAGTACAACTAGAATACTAGTAGAACTTCTCACAAGGCATTGTAGGCTTCACAAACACATGATTATGATAGGTCTGACTGGAGAACTGCTGTGCAGGTTCTGTCAGGAAAAGGAGGAAACAGCAGTACACATTGCCACTGTGAGGGCTTGTCAAGACTAAGGTTCCTCACACAGGGTGAGGAAAAACCAAGAGCCTAAAGTTACACAGACCATAGATCTGAAAGGGTCGCGGTGTGGAGGCAGATAGCCCGAAGGCTCTACTCTCAATCTGAATAATTTTTGTGCAACACTCTTTCTCATTCAAGCCAGTTTTCTCAGAACGCTGATAATGTCACCCGTTCTTGAGAGAATGCGTGTAATAATATAGTTGGGACACCCGGTATATATAATCAAATCATATTTCAATACATATAGATTCATTATCTTTTAACGTTTAGGAGAAGTTTTAATCTATCCTTGTGAATAAATTCCTCTGCACCACTTATAGATAAAAGGAGAATGAAAACACTTATCATCTGAAGATACTCTCAGAATAAATTATGAAGTCAATAATATTCCTAGAATCATAGTTCTAGAAACGATTTTTATTCGAAGAGACTATTCGATCTGAATGAATGTTATCTAGATATATCAAAATGAATAAGTATGTTGTTTATAGAGCACGGAATGATACTATTTTCCCACTATAATGATAATGAAGTTAGACAGGCATTCATTTTACTTGATTCTTTGGGATTTTCTCTCCTCGTTTTTATAAAATAAAAGTATTCGTATTATTTCAATATATTTGTAGAGGGACAAATCAGATGATTTGCCCCAAAATGTCACTGCGTTAACCAAATTTTTCTGTCAGGGAGTCTAAAAGAAAAATCCAGTAGCTTATCAGTGACAATTTGTTTAAAAAAATTTTTTAAGGAAAGAAATATAGATTTATTGAAAAAATATCGGATTTTTACTTATCTTTGGACGTTTCGGGACCGATTCTGCTCCCGTTCTCAACATGTAAATGCAAATTATGTTTCTTTGAAAATTGTGCTGCTTCTAATTTGACACTTTTCAGTGTCATTTTAGTCTACAAATGAGTTACAGGAAGTTTTCATTAATTGATCTTGAATCTACCATTTTCGTGTTCAGTTTTCAGTAGTGAATACCATGTTCTATCTATATCAACTGAACAGGAAGCAATGCTATTGTCTCCGTTTAGAAGAATGCAAGCGAATTCCTAGATTTTTCTTTTTTGGTTGTTATCTTCCTTTCCCATGATTTTGATATTATTTCACTCTGCCATATGTTGTCCATCTTCAGTAAGGATATGTTCAGTAAGCTTCGATTTATCGATATGTCTCTTCTTGATATTGTACCGGGTGATTCATTAAGGGTAGCGAGGTACCATATCTCAGGAACTAGAAGTCGTAGGAGGTTGAGAAAAAAATTCTATCGAGGAAATCGACCAAGAGAAATTGCTGGAAATAGTTTTTTAGTTTCTATATCTACCGCTGGAGGGCGTAATTGCTATGGTCGTATAAAAAATTGATTTTTCCAGCGAATTTTTCAACATGAGCTGAGGAACAGAAGCTATCACGCTAATGCTGTTAAAATAGTGCATCTTTTTGTTCCTACACTTCTTTTCGTATACGATGTGAAATAAGGGCGGTAGACGAGGTTGAACCTTTCCTGACTAAAATACCTATACCATCGTTTTGATTTGATTTGACTGAACGGAATTCAGCAAACTTGGTCTCGATCGAGAGAGTAATGTTTGTTGATTATATTGAAGGAACACCAGTGCCATGCTGGTTCCAGCTGCACTCACTAGGGGGCCTAATTAAAACATTCCTGCATTTTTTGATTTTACCTCAAAATCAAAGGTATAGGTATTTTAGTCAGGAAAGGTTCAACCTCGTCTACCGCCCTTATTTCACATCGTACGAAAAGAAGTGTAGGAGCAAAAAGATGCACTATTTTAACAGCATTAGCGTGATAGCTTTTGTTCCTCAGCTCATGTTGAAAAATTCGCTGGAAAAATCAATTTTTTATACGACCATAGCAATTACGCCCTCCAGCGGTAGATATAGAAACTAAAAAACTATTTCCAGCAATTTCCCTTGGTCGATTTCCTCGTTAGAATTTTTTTCTCAACCTCGTACGACTTCTAGTTCCTGAGATATGGTACCTCGCTACCCTTAATGAATCACCCGGTACTTGTGTTCTTTAGTCCTAACTGAGAGAGGTCTTTTCGTTTCACAAACACAAGGTATACTATAAACACAATTTTTTGATTATTGTTCTTCATTTTTTAACTTTGTTTGAGTTAGAATGGATCTCATTGTATTTTCAGTTTTGAAAACAGTTTTCACTTGGAACTTATCACCAAAACGTTTAATTTTTTCAGATATGCCGGGAATGTACGGTATTATATTCGTCGTTATTAATGGTTGTTTTTGTTGTGGTGCATTTTGACAGGCATTGCTTGTTATTTCATATGGGAGATGAGATTTCGTGAAATAATAACACAATGAAGACATACAATGTACCCACCATATAGATTTATCGAACACAGTAAAACAAGAGTGTATAGCCATGAAAAAAATATTGAGATGTCCACCATCATTCAATTATTATTTTGAATTGACTCGGCCGTTACTTGATGGAAAAAATCCATGGCAAATGTTAAACTTCCCTAACGATGAGATTTCCACAAAATTCTCAAACACACGACATGTTTCGCTAACACAGTAGCTTCGTCAGGTGATATACTGGTACAATGAACTAAACTAACCTTGGCTTGCTTAACTTATATATTCAAAAAAACCTTCATATTCGGAAATTAGGCACAATATCTGCATTAAAATACGGTGTACCGGATTAACTTGAAAGGGTTAATAGCAAATACATATTATTACCTACTAAGAAAACAAATTCAACAGTGGCGAACTATTGAGGTCTAATTGATCGTTAAGTAAAACGTCAGAATTCTTGAGTTTGTTGATTTCGAATGATTCAAAATGATTGAGTTTCATTCCCATATTTTCTACGTGTAGAATTTCGAAATTATTATCAAAACTATGGTTTTCTTCTGATATATGGTTATCGTACGTTGAATTTGTTTTCTTTTTTTAAGGAATTCACCTTATGTTCATGAATGCCCTGATTAAACGTACGACCTGTCTGACCGATATATGGCCAAAATCCACAGTTGGGTTTGTATACTCCTAATTTTTCGAATTTAGAAGTTTTGTCTTCATTATTTTTTATAAACCTTCCCAACGTGTTATTTGTTTTATATGCTACTTTTAAGTTCTGTTTATGTTGAAATGAAGCTAATTTTTCAGTTGATGATCCAAAATATGTTAAAGTTCTATAATTTTGATTATTACTCTTGATGGTAGGATCATCTTCTTGAATAGCTTCATTATGAAGTGTTTTAGAAAGAATACTGTCTATCAAATTAACGTTGTATCCGTTGTTGACTGCAATCTGTTTTATGATATTGAGTTCTTATAGAAATTTACTTCCGAAAGAGGGACATTTACTAGCCTCATACTGTATCATACCACTATGCTGTTGATAAGGGTGTGTTGAATTATTATGAATAGTGATATCAGTGTGGGAAGGCTTTTGGAAAATTGAAAAATCATGTTTATCATTAATTTTACTTGTCAAATCTAAGAAATCGATTGACCTTTTTGACAGATCGCATTCATGAACATAAGGTGACTTTCTTAAAGAAGAAAACGAATTCAACATACGCCAACCATATATTAGAAGAAAACCATAGTTTTGATGATAATTTCGAAATTCTACACATAGAAAATAAAGGAATGAAACTCAATCATTTTGAATCATTAGAAATCAACAAACTGAAAAGTATTTTACTTAACGATCAATTAGACCTCAATAGTTCACCATTTTCGAATTTGTTTTCTTAGTAGGTAATAATATGAATATATCAACCCTTTCAAGTTAATCCGGTGCACCGTATTTTAATGTAGATATTGTGCCTAATTTCCGAAAATGAAGGTTTATCGAACCTGACCACAGGTAATTAATCCTTCAGTTTGGCAAATAGGATATATAAGTTAAGCAAGTCAGGGTTAGGTTAGTTCATTGTATACCAGTATATCACCTGACGAAGCTACTGGGTTATTATCGAAACATGTCGTGTGTTTGGGAAGTTTTACATTCAATTATTAAGTTATAACTATGGTGATAGTGAACAAGTTGTACTGCAACCATCAATAATGACAAATGTTCCATTCATTAACTTTTTTACCAATGAAAACATCCTTCAGGTATTCACCTCTGAGAAATAATTAAATGACAATTTAAAATGTTGTTTTTGAGTACGCATCGGTTATTTTAATGCCTATCAAACCCTTGTTTCGAGTACTTTATTTTTGTCAAATAAACCTCTCGAAAATGATACTGGAATTAGATCCAGATAAGTACTCGGATTTTTCAGATAATTGTTTGTATAAAAAGTGACATTTTCCTTAGAAATGCATAGTGCTTGCTGGACCTTCCAAGAGCTATCAGGTGAGTTTGGAAATTCTTCTTGTAAAATCATTATGAATATTAAATACAATTTACTTCACAAACTTTTCTAATTCTTCACTAGTTTTACTTGTGATTAAATAGTTCCTTTGGACCAATATTGAATTTCAAAACGAGCGCTTCACTTTGATTTTTCGAAATGAATTATTTCGAGTCAAATATGAAAATATATGAAACTGTACATCATCCCACAATGGATATCTGAAACACTCTTAATACTTTTAGTTTTGTTTTTTTTTTGCTTCAAGGGATGGATTTTTTTTTTCATTCCGATTTTTTCAAAGCTAATCTGGATTATTGTCTTTATATACAGGTTGTTATTCAAGTATATAGCCAAACTTCGAGGTGCGGTTCTCAAGGTGATTCCAAGATGAAAAATTCATATGAACATAGCTCCGGAAATGCATACATTTCAAACAACAACAAAATTTGTTATTCCATGGGAATCGTTCAACTAATGCTGTAGAATTTTTGCAATGTTATCTATAGTAGTAAGAGGCAGGTTTTGGTCATATTCAGATTTGCAAAAGACATTTTTCAGTTAAGAAAGTTCGACATTGTGTATTTTGAAAACTATGCATTTCTAGACCTATGTTCACATGAATTTTTCGTCTCACAATCGCCCAAGGAATCACCTCTTATAGTTTGACCAGATACTTGAATAACACCCTGTATACTAGCCCATTTGTTCCCAAAGGAAAGATTAACTTGTATATCATCAAAGTCTGTCTTTTTAAAAAAGTTTATACTATCATTATCTTCACCAAACTATAATTTCTAATTTGTAAAAACACATGTTTTTCTAACTCAGTTTCCTTCGAAACCGAAATATTGTTATTACTATCCGAAAGAATTCATTAATTTTCTGTCAGTATGGAATTACTGGAATGTTGTACTATGTTGTAATGGATGATTGTTCAATCAATCATCAAATTTTCATAAATGAAATAAGTATGTTCCAAAACTGTTCTAACATCGGTATAGAATGCCTCCTCATCACGCATATAAGATGGTATCTGCCCTCAACTGCAATACAAGAGCGAAACATCATGGTATGTGTTCTAATCAATCAACTCTTTCGTCCAGGCACAATGAAGTCCTTAGCAATCATCCTCGCCTTGGGCTTGTTCGCTCAAAGTCAAGCCGCCAGCGTCTACGTGGACCGTTTCCTTCAACAGTACAACAAACTGCACGACCCAGCCAATGGCTACTTCTCCAAGTGGGGAATCCCCTACCACTCTGTAGAAACCCTCATGGTAGAAGCCCCAGACCACGGCCACCAAACCACCTCAGAAGCTTACTCCTACTGGCTCTGGTTGGAAGCCTTACATGGCAAAGTCACCAACAACTTCAGCTCTTTCAACGATGCCTGGGCCAACATGGAGCAGTACATAATCCCAGTGCACAATAGCCAGACCGGCAACAACTACAACCCTGGAAAGCCAGCTACCTACTCCGCCGAGCTAGATTATCCCAGTGAGTACCCTTCTCCTATGGAGTTCAACGTTCCTGTTGGCTCTGACCCCATTTACCAAGAGCTGGTCAGCACCTATGGCTCTGACGACGTTTACTCCATGCACTGGCTGTTGGACGTTGACAACGTCTATGGTTTCGGAAACCTGCCCGGTTCATGTGAGTTGGGCCCTCAAGCAGACGGACCTTCCTACATCAACACCTACCAAAGAGGACCGCAAGAATCCGTCTGGAGGACCATCCCTCAAACCACCTGTGACTCATTCAAATTTGGCGGTCGCAACGGTTTCTTGGACCTATTCGTCGGAGATAACAGCTACACCCAACAATGGAAGTACTCTAACGCTCCTGATGCTGATGCCAGAGCAGTTCAAGCAGCCTTCTGGGCCTACACTTGGGCTAACGAGAACGGAAAAGCTAGCGACGTTGCCGCTACGGTCGAGAAAGCCGGTAAACTCGGGGACTACCTGCGTTACGCTCTTTTCGACAAATACTTCAAGAGGATCGGTAACTGCGTCGGGCCTTACAACTGTCCTGGTGGACAAGGCAAAGAGAGCGCCCACTACTTGATCTCGTGGTACTTTGCTTGGGGAGCCGCCCTTTACGGAGGTTGGTCCTGGAGAATCGGAGATGGCGCTGCTCACTTCGGTTACCAGAATCCCTTGGCCGCTTACGCTCTATCCAACGTGGCCGCTATGAGACCCAAGAGTGCCACTGGGGCTTCCGACTGGCAAACTTCTCTGGAAAGGCAGCTTGAGTTCTACCAGTACTTGCAATCCGCAGAAGGAGCATTCGCTGGAGGAGCTACCAACACCTGGAATGGCAGATATGATACCCCACCTTCCAATTTGACCGCTAACACTTTCCACGGTATGTTCTACGACTGGGAACCCGTGTACCACGACCCAGCATCGAACAGATGGTACGGTATGCAACCCTGGTCCGTGGACCGTCTCGCTCAGTACTACTACGTCTCCGGAGATGCCACAGCAAAGGCACTTTTGGACAAATGGGTCAAATGGATCGTGTCCGAGATCCAATTCGTAGACGGTACCTACAAAGTACCCGAATGGTTGGAATGGACTGGGATACCTCCAGAAGTCCACGTCACTGTTACCAGGCGATCCAGCGATGTTGGTACCGCTTCAGCAACTGCCAGAACTCTGTCCTACTACGCTGCCAAGAGCGGAGACAATGATGTCAAAGAAGTCGCTAAGAAACTGTTGGATTTGATCTGGGCCAATTACCAAACCGACAAGGGTGTGTCTGTTGAAGAAGTCGTCGAGACCTACAGCAGGTTCAACGAGGAAGTGTACGTACCGTACAACTGGGAAGGTCACTACCCCAATGGCGACGTCATCCAACATGGCGCCACCTTCATTAGCTTGAGGTCCTTCTACAAGAACGATCCGGACTGGCCTAAGGTTGAGGCTCATTTGGCGGGAGGTGAGGCTCCCAAGTTCACGTACCACAGGTTCTGGGCGCAATCTGATGTCGCCTTGGCTCAAGGTACCTACGGAGTACTCTTCAATGAATAAATGATCTGGACTCTGGCGATTAATGAGTTTTTTTGAATAAATATACTTTTTGCATTTATTTCTGTCTTTTATTCGATACTCCCCAGGTAGTACAGTGACGTCCAAAGGACGTCCTAATTTGGTCACAAAACTGTCCAATTGACTTCAAAAAATGACGTCTTGAAGACCTCGAAATGACTTACTTACTACTACTTATTTTTCAAATATTTTAGTAATTTTCAGTACATTTTTATAACTCTTTCAGTACAGTAATTCAATTTTTCATTACTTCAAATACTTTTGAAGTCACATTTCTCGTCTTCCTAAGTTCGCGTTAGTAACTGAGTGAATTCCAGAATCCAGATGGGCACTAGAAAATTCAGAACGGTGTTTTTGAGTGTAAACGGGAGGTTGACTCTCTGACCTGGCTCACAGATTACTAGTCTTTATTACAGTAGTGGTTTGCAGTGGTGCAATTAATTCTAGCGCCCTTTCGTCCATAGAGAATGGGAACAATTTCTTGAGAATTTAAAAAATTATGTTTTCAAGAATTTCCCTCTTATAATAAGTAATTTCGTTACTACAGATGTTCCATCGCTGATGAATATTCATCTGAATCAACTCAGGAATACAAATACAACAAAGAAAATGAAAAACTGATATACAAAAAAAAATTTCATACAGCCTGCCTCGTTAAACGCTCTATATCTCAGCTATTATAGTCGTGCGATTCGTACCAGATTTGAACCAATATTAGTAATTTTTTGCAAGAAAACTATCTCCATAATATTGTTTCCCATGCTTTCGAACCTCCATATGCACAAAATTCCGAATAAACGGGATTGGCTTAATTTCTTACGTTTTCAGCCTCGAAAAAATAGTGAATTGATCGAACTTTGACAAGTTCAATAGCTCCGGTAGATAAATAGTAGATTGTTTTATTAGGATCAAAAGTGACACTTTGTTTGACAAGCGCATTTTGCATTTGCGAGGCGGAGCGTTTAGCGAAGCCGAGCGAAAGCAAAATTTGCGAGTCGAACAAAGTCACTTTTGATCCGAATGAAACATGCTATTTTTTCTGCAACCGAAACAATTAACTCAAATAAACATGTGAAGTAACCACCAATGTCGTGCCATATGTATGCAATGCAACAAATATTGACAAATAATCCATGTGGTGAGAATATTCTACCTGCATTAACAGCAGGTTAGGTTTTCTAGGATGTTCGAATTGTAGTTTCAATATAAATACAACCACAGAGTGACATATTTGTGTATGGACCAGGTGCTCTAATAGCAAGACGTGGAAAATGTTAGGTTAGTGATAGCGATTATTTATTCCTCTCCATACTACACTGTTCGACTTGATAATCAAATGAAGCTAAACAATATCGTTGTTTGAGACAAAAAAACTATTGCTTGCCGTGATTATTCAAAAACAAGTTATCCATCCCGAGAATAACGAATGAAATACAGATCAAGCAAGCATTTGAATCTTGAAGGCTTCCCTAATCAAAACAAAAATATCTAACTGAGATGTTTATAATTCCAATACTGAACTATAATAAGGTGTATTTATATCTCCAGCATGGGTATGTAATGCCAAATCTGCTGAAATCGGAAACAAATCAGGTATGCGTCTCAACCCAAATACCCAACCGTCACAATGTTGTTTATTCTTGATGATGTCCAGTACATTCTTTTTAGTTCCTAGGAGCTAAAGTTCAACTTTAGCTCCTAGGAACTAAAATTCAACTTTAGCTCCTAGGAACTAAATATGTTGCCTAGCAACATACCTATTTTTGTGTCAGTAATAGAAACGTCAATTTAAGAGCTAATTTTGGTATCAAAATGGACGACTTTTGTGTCGGTTGCAGAAAAAAATAATGATTTGAAACAAAAATCAAGATATACCTACTATTTATTTTATGTCGAACTCCGAGTTTCTTTCATTACTTCGAATACCTTTATAATATCATCATGCAGATTCTTTTCAATTCCTTTCAAAGTATCTTTATTCTTGAGTATTCTGATTCTCAAATAATTTTAATTACTCCTCAGAACTTCCTAATTACATTAATTACTTCGAAATATTTTCTTTACTTACAAATATCACATACTTTGAATATGGTGTACACTTTTATGATTGATCTTTGGGACACCCGGTAGGTATTCGATGAGAAAAATAATGTTTTTTTTTAATTCAACTAAAGGTGAATTTTACTGAATCATGTTCCTGCTTGTTCTTGAGCTAGATTAATTTCTTTCAATAGGACATTTCTTTACAGAGTTAGTAGGAGTTGTATCGTCAGCAAAAGCGATACAACCATGCATGAGGAGGCATGCGAGAAAATAGGTCATCGACGTAAATTTTAAATAGGAGTGGACCTAGAACCGAACCTAGCGGCACTCTACATGTTATAGATCCCAGATCAGAAACTGTATATGAATCAAGTGCATGCGGTGCATGCTATGAGAGAAGGATGGAAAGGAAGAAAGTGATATGTCTGTCTAGAAAGCTCTTATGTGATTCCAGCCAATGTTGGCACGCCTATGCTCGATTACTAACCCACTCTTTCATGGCGACGAAATCTAAAAGAAATATCAAAATTACTCAATCTGTGGAGCGTTACAACACCTGCTTACAGGGAGGGGATCAGAATGTAACCTTGCCTTCTTTCGATCTCAGTATGCCATGCAACTCGGTCAATGAGCACCAAAGACGTTTCAAGAGGATTACGTCCATTCTGTGGAATCTTCGAGGAACAGTCAATGCCATAAGTTCTACTGGGTGAGTTAATTTTTCTCACGCAAAAAAGATTCTTCAGAGTTTTTTCTTCAACCCATCTTTGACATCATTGACAATGTGATGAAATAGAGAATATTATCGTCCCCAGAAGACTCCAGCATGTTTGCAAAAAAGTGAAGAATTAACCATCTTGTGTAATTATTTCAGGATCGACATTTTCAAGATTGTGCTAATTTCTTGGTATCGAAAATGAACAAGTGTGGAATAGTTTCGAGAAGATTTTTTCGAGTTCGCAGTGCAAAGTGTCAAGATGTCATTACGAGTGCTTGTGAAGTGCCGAAAAATTTTGATTTCAAAGAGGCTCGACCTTACGAAAGCGTCCCAGGACCAAAACCTTTACCTTTGTTGGGTAACAGCTGGAGATTCATCCCTATCATAGGTAATCACAACACATTATTTTCTCAATGTTCTGAGAACTGATTATCATTTGAAAAGCAATGCAAAGTATGTCTCAAATATTTTTTAAATGATAGCTGCTTGAAAAAATTGAACTGAAATTACAGTTTACCATCTAACTATAAACTTCCGCTTAAAACGGATGTACTCATACAGTTTGATTTCAAAGTAGGTGGAAAAGTAATGGTAAAACTGCATTTATCATGCGATGGGTTTTTTTTTTTTTCGAAAATTGTTTTTGATACTTAATAATTTTTGTCTGAAAAACGCGAATTCGATAATGAAAATGTAAACAAACAATTATTTATTGAGATATTTCCCTATAAACTTACAAACTTCACCTTCTTTTCCCTGATTTTTACATCATTGGACAATTTATTTATATCACATGTACGACACATTTTTTTCTATTATATGAGAACTAGAAACATTATGTTCTTGTGATTAATCCGTATTTAGTGAAAAGAAGGAAGAATATCATTTAAAATAATGGCGTGCGTATAATGTCATTCAAAAGCAATCTGTTGACATTTGACATCTCGTATTTGGATTGACTATTGATTAAATGGTCGTCATCTGGTATGCCTGTTCACTAAATATGGAAAATTCGCCATAAAAATCTTATTTCCTGTTTAATTTTCTATATATAAATGTGTCATTGAAGTACATCATGAGTATATAAAGTGTTCAATGACAAAATGAAAAAGCAAGTACCTGTGAATGCATCCCAGGGGAAAAGTACCAAAAAAATGTTCACTTGTAATACCACTTGAGGTCAAATTATTTCCGGAAATTTTTTCGAGCTCATGGATATTCTAAAAATTATTCCGAGTCGAATACAAGGAATCATTTTCGAAATATTCATTAGCGAAACAAAATTTTCGGAAAGTAATTTGACCTCGGTAAGACAATTTCACACCAGATTGTGTTTGGAAATTGAATAATTTTAGAATCTATTTCTTCATTTGATTTGCATACAGGTTCATGGATAAATTTAGTTTGGGTAGCAGTTTCGGCACCAATAATAGATTTCTGATTTCTATATACCCATAATATTTGCATAAAAATACTAGTTTAAAATGTAACATATTATATTCTTCCATTTTATATTAACTCCGGGATACTACAAGTCATAAGGAATTTAAATTTTGTCAATTATTTTTCATAGGTATAGGTACATACTAGTAGTATATCGGGTGGTCACAAAAACACCGGAAGTTTTTATTTTCCTCATGGTTTCATCATTTCTCAACCGCATTCGAATTTCTTGGCGTCGTTTCATAGCTAAAGGGCTATTGTATACAGTGGGATATTTGAAAATTCCATAATGAACAAAAACAAATTGGCGGATTCTACCAAAGTATTGTCATTTACAAAAACCGCTGGAGATAAAATAAATCAGATTTTTTCCAACCTGTACCGATGTCATATTAGGCTATTCATTTCTGAAGAGAATGAGTACTCGAACATCGAAATCGAACGAATAGTCCAGTAGATACACTCATTTCTTTGCAATTTGTTATGGAGTGAATGTGCGAATCTCGTATAAAAGATTATTATTATTTTGCTTCAGGCTTCATAAAAATTCAATCGAATTTGGATTTTTTAGAGTTATTTCAAAGATAAAGAACTGTAGTGCATAATGGAACATTTGAAAATCCAATAATTGAGAGAAACAAAATTGTGGAGAATCCAGAATTTTTGTGATTTTCAAAAATCTCTGGCGAATAAAAAAATGTTTCAATCAGGACCGATACAATTTTAGATCATTGATTCCTGAAAAGAATGAGCACTCGAACATCTGAATCGAACAATTAGTCCCGGAGAAACACGTTCTTTTTGGCAAAGTGATATGGAGTGAAATCCAAATTCGATCGAATTCTGATGAAGCCAAAAGCAAACTAAAAGTAATTCTTATCACGGGATTGGCACATTCACTCCATAACACTTTGCCAAAAAGAACGTGTTTCTCCTGGACTAATTGTTCGATTCAGATGTTCGAGGGCTCATTCTTTTTAGAAATCAATGATCTAGGGCATCAATGGATTCTTAGCCTATTAATTGTTGATTCCTTACCAATTGTAGTGGCACAAAATCATACGTTGCTATGGTAATTTTTCATAAATACCCAATTGAACTGTGTAAAAACACTGGTGTGGAATTTCTGAAACAAAAAACCATTGCATGATAAATACAGTTTTACCAAAGTAATTGTCGATAAAATTTGTGATCACTAGAATATCATAATCTATTTTGCACTAGTATAATAAGGACGCTATTGTTTGCACTAGTACAAGGAGAAAAACTGTACTCTATAAGTAGTCTTGATGTTTGTTGGTGAGTAATATTATTTCTATGATTATTGAAGGTGATTTTGAAATAGAACACATAGACAAAGTATCGGAACGACTGTACAATGAATATGGAAAAATTGTGAAAATGGAGGGACTCCTTGGAAGACCAGACATGTTGTTCCTCTTCGATCCAGATGACATTGAACAAGTTTTTCGTCAAGAAGACCTCCTGCCCTACAGACCTTCTATGCCATCTTTGAATTATTACAAACACGTCTATAGGAAAGAGTTTTTTGGGAACCATGGCGGGGTAATAGCTGTGTAAGTCTTGATTTTTACCATACATACGAAAATTAGTAAGATTGGCGAAGAAGACTTCTAACCGACTATTTTCAAAGGAAGCTCCTTTTCGAATTTGATTCTTATTCATTTGATATCAAGGTAACCAACGAAAGTGATCCATAACTTACAGTGGGGGTAATATAAATCAGGAGGGGTGAAAGAACTTACAGTCACAACTCCACCACATAAACAATTCAATAATGACCAACGATCATGGACCAAAGGGCATGTTTCGAAGGATTAACCCTTCATCATCAGCAAATTGATAAAAGGAATACAGACTTCCTAATTTTTATAAATTTGCTGATGATGAAGGATTAATCCTTCGAAACATGTTCTTTTGTCCATGACCTTTGGTCATTATTTGATGGTTAATGTTGATTCAAACATCCAGAAGTTTTATGTCTTATATTTAGTAAGCTATTCGTATAGCGATAATTATAAAGCCATCTAGAAACATGAGTTGTGCATTTAAGTAGATGCGCTATGAATATAAAACCGTATCTAGAGTGTATCATGAAACTTGTGGTGTTCTGTCTATACTCATGCCTCATATGCCTCGTAAATAAAAAGTAGTTTGGAGAAAGTTATGATAATTTGAAGAAATTTCGGTGGTTCGAGTCAGATGAACAGTTACGCCAGTAGCGTAACAAGTTACTATACTGAACGTTTTATTGAATTGGAAGTGGTACCCTTGCGTAGAAATATTGATATTTATTAGAAGTAATTTCTCTAAACCTACGGAATTTCCTCTTATCCTCCCTTTATATTGACAGATTAATTATTTATTCAACCACTTTATTTTGGCAGGAGCGTCATTTCAGTGGGACAAGGAACTGGGAGAATATTTTTTGCATGTTATAAAATGCGCCGCAGGCGATTTTTTTTATTTGAGTTCGAAGCCAAATGCCTTCAAATTGTGAATTAAAATTTTTCCAGAGTGACAACATCATTATATCCCATACCACATTTTATTCAATTTCATTTTCTCATTTTGTTATATTTGCTATAAAATTGAAAAAAAGATATATGACAATTGGAAGAGCGAGTGAAAAATTGGAAGAGCGAGTGAAACATATTTAAATACTCTTTGAAGGTTGACTGAGCAGGTGATTGTTAATTTTTTCAGATTTCCTTTATATTTCTTCCTCTCGTTTCTCTCGAATAAAAATTTTAATATAATTGCAATACCCATATGTGTAATGAGGATAAAGTGTCACTGAACTAGGAGAGGAAATCATAAAGAATCTAGGGTGATAACGAAAATAAAGGGACTTCAATTAAATACGAATAAATCAAAAAATATCTGAATGAGGTTGAAGTAATGTGAATCATTGGTTGAGTAGTGTTGAATGAATTTCATCAAGCAAGGAATACTGCCTCATTTCTCAATTTTGCGAAATATTTCCGAGATTCTCCAATTCATTCCAATATTTTCATATCATTGATTCCATGCAAAAACTATCAGTCTTTTGTTCATGGAAGTACCTGTACTAAAGGCACCAGTTCTCACAAAACGAGGGAAATTCTGATATTTATTACTTCCCTATTTAGGTATATTATTTTGTGTTTGATACCTAATATTATACTGCCTGACATATCGAACATTTAAAAATGATAGACATTTTTCAATTCAAAGTACTCATATGTATAGTTATTTGTTTTACTAAGCAGAAAAGTACAAGATTTAATGTCGCGGCTGTCGTTTCATAGCCTAGGCGTTACATCTTCTTTTCTGCCATGTGAAACATATGATTTTTTCTCCAAACTCTTTTCAATCTCACGTGAAGTCCAGATAATCCATCATTGTTTGTTCACCCAAAGTCATTGTCAATTTTGATTACCAATTTGATTCAAATTACTTGGAACGTTGCATAGCAACAAACTTTTTCTGTCTAGGCAGCAAAAGTACACCTCCTCTGCCTGTTAAGTGTCATTGAAAATACACTTTTAATGTCATTTGGGTGAAAAAATATTTTTTGTAGAAAACCAGCGGGGGGCAGTTGCCCCCTCCTGCCCCCTATGAATGACGCCCATGTATACTGGGTAATTCAAATTCGAAAGCCACCACTGGGATCTCGGAAACTATAGGTGATACGAAGATTGTTTAATTAGTGCAAAGTTGCTCATTTTTATGTTACTGAAAATATGACGTCGGAAAATTTTCAAAGCCCAATGATTTCCGGAGATCTACGAAAAAAACTGAATTTTGGGTAAATCATCTTTGTTTTTTGTGGCATTATTTGTTGAAGAATATCGAAATTGATAGCATCACATTGCGACTTTATATTCCTGCTATACGATGACATTTCCAGATCAAGTATCTGACATTTCGGCTTCACGCGACCGTCATCAACCTTATTTTTTCCCATGGGCGCCATATTAGATTTTCATCAATTATGAAATGTCATCGTATAGCAGGGAAAAAGTGGTCAGAAAAACATAAAATCTATTTACCAAAATTTCATTTTTTTTTTTTCGTTTATCTCCGGACATACATCTATTTCTAATCACATAAATGCGCGACTTTTCCATAATTCAACCATATTCGTATCTCCTATAGTTTTCTGAGATCACAATGATTTCCCTCGAATTTGAATTACCCGGTATACTATTAGCGTTGATTGATATATTACGCTTACGCTGGCATAATATATCAATCAACGCTATTAGGTACATTTGCAACAGTCAGTCAGCTTAATTATTCTATTTTCGAATTTCGAATGCCATTCAATTAGGCACTAGGCATTAGGATGATGAAGAATGACGTATACTCAGTTCATTTTCATCAAAATAACTAAAAAATATGATTACTTATCAGACACAAAAAATTATGGCGACATTCCATATTAATTTTTTTCAGGCATGGTGAACAATGGCAATCTTTCAGATCTAAAGTGAATCAAATCATGATGCAGCCACGAGTAGCAAAGATGTATACGTCAGCCATTGCTGCTACAGCACAGGAGTTCATTGACAGGTATAAACTTCCTATAATCCCAATCCCTCACAATAATTTATTTTTTCTGCAACCGACAATACTGAAATTAGCTCTTGAATTGACGTTTCTAATACTGACACAAAAATAAGTATGTTTGCCAGGCAACAATTTTGATTCTTATAGGAGCTCAAATTGAACTTTAGCTCCTAGGAACTAGAAAAGACCTACTAGGTCACCAAGAATAAACAACATTGGTTCGGTTGGTTATTTGGGTTGAGACGCATACCTGATTTGTTTCCGATCTCAGCAGATTTGGCATCTCATACCCAGATATAAATACACCATATACATATACATATTATACACCACTTTCCATCTCAAGATTCACATTCTTGCTCGATCTGTAGTGTATTCATCATTCTCAGGATCTGATTGATTGGATAACTTGCCAAACACAGTGTAATATGGCGATTTCCATATATTTTTCCTATACCTGGCACTGGCATGGTATGCGCTATTAGGGCTGACACCTAGTCCAAATGAATTCATCGATTCAACGATTCAATAGAATATACAAATATGTCATTCTGTGGTTGTATTCATATTGAAAGTACAATTCGAATGACCTTGAAAATTGAATGAACCTGATCTGCAATTAAATGCAGGTAGAATATTCTCACCATAAGGGTTATTTGTTGCTTTGCATACATATTTTTATTTATTTATTTATTTATCGCTTGGAGCCCATGGAAGGGAATCCCTATAATGTTCAAAGAACATCGTGCGTTCCTAGGGAGGATAGGGATAGGAGGTAGGTATTATTGGTAGTATAGAAATCGTGCTCGTAGTCTCTGATGACATGATGCATGTCAACACAAATTGTAGCAAAGTAAAGTAGTCTGAGGTATTGCTTCTATCTACTTACTCATATTATTATAATAATCTGTCAAGTGAGTCACATTGGTGTTAACTTCACTAATATTCATTTTAGTTAATTCTTTGAGTTGCAGAAAAAATAGCATGTTTCATTCGAATCAAGAGTGACTTTGTTTGACTAATAAAACAATCTACTATTTACAACAACTGGAAGAATATTCACTCGACTTTTGTATTTTTCCTTCAAACTGAATCACTTATGAAAATCAATATAAATAGATATTGTTACTTTTCGTATAGCAAGAGGAGTGTGAAGAATATACACACCTTCTTACGAGTTCTTGGTCGTCATTTAGAAGGGGCAAAGGCTGATTCTCTTCAGGAAATTGATGTACATCAAAATTTCATCAGTACTCAAAATTGAAGAAATTGAAATTATGTAATTTCAAACATCATTCACATAAAATAAATACCTGAATATAGGAAAGCAAATAACAAATTTTCCTAAAATGTGAAAATTATAATAAATTGATGCTTATTTGCTGTTATGAGTGATAGTTGTTGATTGGGATAAGATGAGATAGTTGAATATAATCAGGAATTCTTTGAATTATCTTGCTAAAATTTAGAAGATGAGTCAGTATCATTTGCTTGATAAAAATCGTTAACGCTACTCAATCATCAATCATATCTTCAACCTCCTTGAGATATTTTTATTTAAACAGCAAATCTCAAAGGAATTTGAGAATATTCATCTGCTAGGGTAAGCTATACAAGGTGTCCTAAAATTATGTGCAAAATATCAAGGGGGTGATTCTGTATGAGAAAATATGAAATTTATTTCATATATACTTGGGTCCGGAAAAGCATAGTTTTCAAGATACAGTGTGTCAAACTTTTTAGAAAAAATTCGGTTTTTATGAATATCTCAAATATCCTTTCAACGATTCTATTGAAATTTGGCATTGATATTCTTTGTCATAAGGGACTGATTTAGCTATAATTAAATAGGAATCGTGAAATCCAGTGGCGTCCTGGGGGCACCCTACCGAATATTATTCACAATAATAAAATGTGCGCCACTGATTTTTCTTAATTCAATATCTTCATATCCTGAAGATTAACTGAAAATACATCATTTTGGTATCCTGGATGGTTTTGCTGTTTTGCTGCGTTTCCGTGGAAAAAGATAAATACCAATTTATTGTTTAACACTCGGTTAGGCGCACCCCTAAAAGGAACATGGATAGTCGCTATGGATCTGAGAATCCGAATGTGGAAACAATGATCATTTTGAAAAATATCAAGGCCTATCTTATTCATTTGGTGGATTAAGATCAATAAACTTCATTTTTAATACAGGTGTTTATTGAAAAAAATAGAAACAAACAAAAAATTATAAAAAATTAATTCTAGCATTTTCAAAGTTAGAAGGTAATTAGAACTGAGGAAAAAATTAGTCAGTCGTCCTCCTCGTCAGAATCGACTGCCTGTTCTTTTTCACAGCCACCAGTACACGTAAAGGAACAGTAATACACTGCTGTAGATGTACAATAAAATTCAATAATAATGCAAATCAAATAAATCAAAAATACTTTCAAATTTGGTCGCTGTGAATCTCATAGATCCATGAGGTATCTACGGCAGTGAATGACACCACTCGAGAAGTCAAACCAACACTGAAGTGTGACGCCTGTTAAGGTAGGAGGATACTGTAACGGATATTCTCCTACTCCAAATGACTAGCGCCATTCGGCTAAATATGAAACCAGTGGATCTCACAGATCCCGCGCGACTAATCGAGTGTTAAATTTGTGCAAAACATTGCTTCAAAAACAAGGGTGAAATTAAATGTGTGATCCATGTCCATAGTCGTAGAATAAGAATGGAGATTCATTTTCTTCAAATATTTTATAATACATGTTTAACACACTTTTTGTTATCGAAAACTACGCCTTCCTGGATCGAGGATACATAGTTCTCAATATACTTACAGAGTGTAGAGTGTGTCAAACATGTTTCAAGAAATATTTGAAGAAAATGGATCTTCATACCTATTCTATGTCTATGGACATTGACCACGCATCTATTTTCACCCCAGTGTTTGAAGGAATCTTTTGGCACAAATTTATGCAATGAATTGGTATTTATTTTTTTCCATAGAAATGAAGCAAATTATCAGAACAATTCACGAGACCAAAATGTTGTATTATTAGTTAGTCAATAGGTTATGAAGATACAAAATTCAAAAAAATCAGTGGCGCACATTTTATTGACAATAATATTTGGTAGGTTGCCCCCTGGGTCACCACTGGATCTTATAATTTCAATTGAATTATGGCTTTATCAGCCCCTCATGACAAAAAATATCATTGCCAAATTCCAAGGAAATCGGTGAAAGGATATTTGAGATATTCATGAAAAACCGATCATTTTTAAAAGTTTTAACACACCCTATGTTGAAAACTATTCATTTCAGGACTCCCTTAATTTTCTGTGCATAATTTCTGGACACCCTGTATACAGACAGTACTTAAAATACTTTTCACTTGCTTTTGTTTTCCTCTTCAGATCAGTTTATATCAATTACAACAAACTGCAAACATTGACCTGAATAATTCATTATACAGTGCGTTCATAAAGTGTGGAAACGCTCCATTATCTTACGATATAATTATTTTCAGAGGTAAAGCTCGGACAGGTCGATTTTGTATTTCAGTCTTCCATCTTTTTTACAAAAAAATAATTTTTTCCCCCACCACCTTACAAGATATGACGTCATCGATATTTTTTTTAAATTGAAAGGGTATATTTTTATATCAAAAATTGAAAGCCCATATTTTTCTGAGTTCAACCATACCACATACGTCATATCTTATACACTTCAAGTTACAGTATACTGAGTATAAAAGAAACCAGTGTTCATATTTCTCAACATTCATTTAATTATTTATTTTGCAATGGAAACCTGAGAATTACTCAGTAGTTGCTGTAGATTTGTTATTTGTTTATTTTCACTACTTCTTATCATATTTTCATTGCAAATAAATAATTAAATGAATGTTGAGAAATATGAACACTGGTTTCTTTTATACTCAGTATACTGTAACTTGAAGTGTAAGATATGACGTATGTGGTATGGTTGGACTCAGAAAAATATGGGCTTTCAATTTTTGATATAAAAATATACCCTTTCAATTTAAAAAAAATATCGATGACGTCATATCTTGTAAGGTGGTGGGGGAAAAAATTATTTTTTTGTAAAAAAAGATGGAAGACTGAAATACAAAATCGACCTGTCCGAGCTTTACCTCTGAAAATAATTATATCGTAAGATAATGGAGCGTTTCCACACTTTATGAACGCACTGTATAATAATGTCATGGTGTTGTCACTCTGGAAAATATATAATTTTCAATTTCGTAGCATTTTACTCTTAATCTCAACAAAATTTTCGCCTGCCCTCCCAGGCATACATTGAAATGGAGTAATTATGAATCTGGAAAAAATCTAATTCTCAAATTGAAGGCATTTGACCTTTAAACCCCAAAAAAAAATTCGCATGCGAATATTTTGTCTAAGTTTCTTGAGTCCCCCTGGTAATCACTGAAATGAAGCCCCTGCGTTGAAACCATCTACAAAACATAGGATACAGAAGTCACAAATACATTGAGAACAGAATGAAGATGTTATCATTGAAAAAATGGATCATCATTTTGTTTGAGTTCACTTTACTTGTACATTGGAATCAACGAAAGAGAAAGCGTTAATTGTTCGTATATTCACCTGTGCGTAAAAAAAACTCGTTGAATTGGAACAATATAGAGTGAGCAATAAAAACTGGCACAACTTTTGCAGACTCAGGAAGACAAAAAGACGAGATTCGAGATTTTGAATGAATGATCATGCCCTAGATAGCACATAATATTCTGTGAATATACTGAAATATCCTTATTTTAGAATATTCTGATACAATGTTTCCATCCTGCTTCAAATGCCCGTTTGAATATTTTGAGAATTCATCAAATTTTATCAAAATATGTTTCAATTGTTGTTCTTGCCACATGCTTTGGTGAAGGTAGTATAGTGGAAAAAAAAGTACTCGATTCTCAAAGTTGAGTTAGCACTTTTCAGTATTAAAAAACACACATACACGCATCTTCACAAAATCTATTCCTCAAGGGCTGGAAAACATGTTTATAATAATATATACCAGAAATATTCTCACAATACTTAGACATTTAGTCAGTTTTGGATGACATAGATGTGACCGTAAGTGATTTCATACTGTAAAAAAATTAAAACTGGTTGAGAAAAAATTATTAACCTATATTATCTCACGAAGAAATAATTGATATAAACCTAAACAGTGATGCTCCTAAGGTTGAGTTTATAATCGAAGTTACCTTCACCTACGTTCTGTTAATTTTTTTCAGAATTGAAAAACTCAAAGATGAAAACGAAGAAATGCCTGATGATTTCTTAAATGAAATCCACAAATGGTCCTTGGAATGTGAGTATTCACTGGGTCTTAGATCAAGTAAAACTTCTGATAGAGTAATATTTACAAGAAAAATATTCCTGCGGATTCTCTCCCCATTCATGGACATAGTTTCATTTATAAATATTCCATTCAATATCCTGACAATGATATTCTCAACTTGATCTTTTGGAGCTATTGAATATTTGAGATGACATCGTGCAGATATCCATTTTGTTTTATTTTACTCATTTCCAAACTCTTTTTCAGCTATTGCCAAAGTTGCTCTTGATGTCCGATTGGGCTGTTTAGATGAAAACTCTAATCCAGACTCTCAAAGACTGATAGACGCTGTGAATACTTTCTTTATCAATGTTCCAGTTTTGGAACTGAAAATACCGTTCTGGAAACTATACGCGACCCCCACCTTCAAGAAGTACATTGAAGCTTTGGATACCATCAGAAAGTGAGTTTCAAATATCCTTCGGCCAGAAAAAAATCACAAATAAACGCATGTCAAACTAATAATTTTATTCTCAATGAAAAATCATGACTTTTCTGGTTTTGAATTACCAATCTAAAGTATAACTCCCTCTGAAAATTTACCTTAGCATTGTTGATTGTAATGATGAAACAAATTGTAGTTAGGCCATCGATAATATACAGTGTGTCCCACTTACCATGCTCACCATGGGTATCTTTTTAACGGTGAGAGATACGAGGTCGGTTAAATGACACCCAATGTGGAGTTTGTCAAGATCAACTATAATGTGAAAAATATTTTGATAAAATCTATTCGTTCTTGTTTTATACGCAAAAAACGGATTTTGATCATTTTCATGTAACTTCTTTATTTATGAAAATATTCAAATAGGAATTTCACATTCTCATGGCAGTTTTTCGAAGTGATTTCGAAAAAAATATGAAATTTATACCAACTCTTCTAGAATTTGAGATATCAGCACCAACTTTAGTTTTTCAAAAGTAGGTCATAGCTCACTATGACTTAGTTACAAATATTTTTTTTTTCTCTTACAGATGATATGTCGCAGTAATAGTTTTGTGTTGATAACAACGGAGTTATCGTCATTTATACAAAAACAAAAAATTATTTGGAAGCCGCCATCTTGAATTTATAAATTTCAACAAAAAAATCATGATCTCCGACCTCAAAAACCCCCACTTACCAATTTTGAATGGAATCGGACCAAATCTTGTCCGCCATCTTGGAGCAGCCATTTTTTTTTAATTTCAACAAAAATTCCATAACTCCGATTAACCTGAAATTTGGCAGGTGTTCATAATTTCGGTGACAATACATTATGAAATTTTTTTGAAATTTAAAAAAATGGCTGCTCCAAGATGGCGGACAAGATTTGGTCCGATTCCATTCAAAATTGGTAAGTGGGGGTTTTTGAGGTCGGAGATCATGATTTTTTTGTTAAAATTTATAAATTCAAGATGGCGGCTTCCAAATAATTTTTTGTTTTTGTATAAATGACGATAACTCCGTTGTTATCAACACAAAAATATAACTGCGACATATCATCTGTAAGAGAAAAATAAAGCTATTTGTAACTAAGTCATAGTGAGTTATGACCTACATTTGAAAAACTAAAGTTGGTGCTGATATCTCAAATTCTAGAAGAGTTGGAATAAATTTCATATTTTTTTCGAAATCACTTTGAAAAACTGCCATGAGAATGTGAAATTCCTATTTGAATATTTTCATAAATAATGAAGTTACGGAGAATACATGAAAATGATCAAAATCCGTTTTTTGCGTATAAAACAAAAACGAATAGATTTTATCAGAATATTTTTTCACATTATAGCTGGCCTTGACAAACTCCACATTTGGTGTCATTTAACCGACCTCGTATCTCTCACCGTTAAAAAGATAACCATGGTGAGCATGGTAAGTGGGACACACTGTATAATATGAATATTTTCATGTATTACAACTATTTTTGTATTCAAGTCCATGAATTCTGGTTCCAGTATTTGCCTGAAATTCATTTATAAGAGTATGAAAGCTAGTGACGACATCAACGATGGAAATGAAAAATCTGTTCTGCAAAGAGTACTCAAAATAGGAAACGATCCCAAAATTGCGAGCATTTTGGCGTTAGACATGTTTTTAGTAGGAATAGATACGGTGAGTTTTCAATCCATACAATTATTTTTTGACTTCGAATGTATATATTGTGAGACTACTTGATATCTTGAGCATATTTTTTCGCATTTATGGTTTTGTTAGGTGAGCCAGATCAATTTTTTTTCATTCTAGACATCCAATGCAGTTGCTTCTATACTATATCAACTAGCAATCCACCAAGAGAAGCAAGAAATACTAAGAGAAGAAATCTCTAGAGTATTGCCGCAACTTCAAACACAGATTACTAATGACAAACTTGAGGATATGCCATATTTGAGATCCTGCATTAAGGAAACTCTGAGGTACAAGTATAAAAGTTGTAATAAATTGATATTTGACTGCTTTTTTTCCAGAATGTATCCGGTTGTTATAGGAAATGGAAGACAAACTACAAGTGATTCAATTATAAGAGGCTACCATATACCAAAGGGGGTGAGAACATCTCCAATTAAAAAACACTCAATATATCTCAGTTGATATTATGCCCAATATCATCAAAAGAACCAATAAGGAATGAAATTGTTTCAGACTCAAGTGATATTTCAACATTACGTCATTAGTAATCAAGAGGAATATTTCCCGAGGAGCAAAGAATTTCTTCCTGAGAGATGGCTCAAAACCAGCTCGTTTTCCAAAGAACACCATTCTTTCGCTTCGTTACCATTTGGATTTGGAAAGAGGATGTGTCTTGGAAAGAGATTTGCCGATTTGGAAATACAAACAGTTCTAGCAAAGGTAATTGTTCAATTTTTAACTACCTCTCACCTCTCACAGTAATTCGCAACAACAAATATCATCTTTAATACATCATGTTTATTTTTTGAGAAATAACAAACATATTCCCCATTAAACCCTGAAACTATTTTTCTCCGATTTCGTTTATTTCTGCTCAAAAACGGTCAATAGATGATGTATAAAAATAATTCGATTTTCAATTTTGAAAAAATAGCGGTCCTTTTAATAGGACGATAGGATTATAAAGGGCTACCATAAGAAAAATAAATAAAGATTTGAAAATATGTTCATATCATATATAACGAAATGTTTAGGAAAATACTTGAAACTTTCAAAAACTGATTAGTATGATAGTCCACAAAATATGGTATCATAGCCTCTCTTGCATTCAGGCTGTAGAAAAGGGGACGCAGTTTGGAGTACTTGTCATTTTTATAAAGGAAAGTATTATCATTGCAATGAAGATTGCTCCTTATGAATTGAAATCTATCTCTGGAAATAGCAGCTGATATAAGTTTATTCTGGGTATCGTTGCTATTCTGCCAATACATAGACAAGTAACCCTATGAAGCAGTACATCTCGTCTGCAGTAACGTTACCGAGGCGTTTTTACTGCTGTGCTAGTTTTTATCAAAAACCAGCTTGACGATATTTCCAGGGGAACGCTTTGTGCAGTTTGAATTGGTTGCCATTACATAGACGTAAGGTCTGAATCTTCATTGTGAGTATAGTTGAACGTCATCCCGAGTTTAGTTCTCCTTTCAACAAAAGTGGACAATGGTAAATCGTCATTACTGTCCCAATCGTCATCACCTTCCACGTCAAACTCAATTTCCACCGGGGCCCATAGTTTTACTCTGGGTAAATAATTTGGAACTATATCGTCTTCAGTCCCAGAATCTTCATCGGTATCGTATCGTTTTCGTTGGCGCACGGGTGCAAAAATTATAATGCCTATAGGAATGTGCAGCGTAAAGTCATTCTCCAACTCCTCTTAGAGCTCTGCCGTGATTAGTGACTTTTTCCAATTCTTACAAACAACCGCATAGTGGCGAATAATCCTACCGTCCTTTCAAAAGGACTCGTTCAATTGGACGCATCTAGATTGATCGAGAAGTGTGAAACATAACCACAAATATGAAGAAAGTTAGTATATTATGTTATTTGATGAATATAATCAAAACAACATCGAAAAAATAAAGGAGTTTTAACATGTCTTACCTTGAGTAACTAATTGCAAAATCACTAGAAACACAGTGTTTTTCAACCATCACTATCGATAAAAAAATTTAAAAGATCCTAAAGATCGCGATTGACCTTGTTTAAAATGCCAACTGAATATAATCTGACACTCGCGACATCTTCAAACCGTCAGCTGAATCATTAAAATACAGGATTCGTTATGAAGCCCTTTTAAAAGGACGGTAGGCGTAAATAGGTTGAGTTTATTACCACAATGTTATTCGTGATTGTCATGTGTTGCATATTATTGTTTTTCGGATATATGCTATGAGAAGATCCTAACTCACTTGATATCCATATTTCTTGCAGCATTCGCGATCAGTACCTACATGTATTAAAATGAAAATGAACTCTTTCTTGAAGATTTTCAGACATTATACCGTGGAGTATCATCACGAGAAGTTGGATTATTTCATACATCCCATGTACACCCCAAATGGACCATTGAAACTAAGGTTTATCAAAAATGATAACTGACAGTGAAGGATAGCAAACAAAGCAAAAACTTCGAATGGACCTGTGATGACACACACTATCAATTAAGATGTACCTGATACCTACTCTATGTATTTGATGACAATTTTGTATATTTTTTTGTTAAATATATCCATTAATTTTGGCGAGTCCGCTTTCTGTCGTACTGCAAGAGAACCATTATGTCTCTATTGTATAATATAATAAAAAAAAATTCCAAGTCGTCTCCACAATGTTTAATTACTGAATCATAAAGGGGGGAAAGGGGGGATTATGTGTCGGACCCAAAAGGTATCCATCATCAGCCGATAGAAGTTATTGTGGAGAAGAAAAAGTAAAAAATATATAGTTCTAAATTCCAAACATAAATTTAATGAAAAAATAATGTATAGACGCAGGGTATAACATGAAGTTATAGTCATGTTGTAGCCATCTAATGGCAAAGTTCTAAGGTAGGATACAGAAATCGCGACACACACTGTATGGCGCTGCCATCTATAGTCACACGTACAGACACCCCTATGTCTATACGCTACAGAGTGGTACTACAAGTAAACCACTCTGCTGAGAGATGGCACTACCTGACATACTTGAGTGGAATTTTTCCACCACCTATTCAACTGCTTTATCTCATAACTAAGAGATCCAGGATGAACAGAGTTGCCCCAATTGTCAGCAGGAGCGAGACAGTACTGTTTCGACCCACCAGGTCTCATCAGCCGCTCTCGGTCTGCTGACAACTGGGACAACTCTACGCTTCGGGTATATCACCCATTTCGAAGACGCAGGGTATAACATGATAACATAGAGTTGTCCCAGTTGTCAGCAGACCGAGAGCGGCTGATGAGACCTGGTGGGGGAATACAAAATTCTGACATTTCACTTAACTATCAATTATTCCTCAAAAATTCACTACTATTGAATTTGTTTTTCTAGTAAGTAATGATATGTATTTGACATTAACCCTTTCAAGTTAATCCGGTACACCGTATTTCAATGTAGCCGAAAATAGAGGTTTATCGAACATGTCCACAGGTAACTAATCATTCAGGTCGAGAAAGTAGGATGGGAAAGTTAAGCAAGCCAAGGTTGGTTTAGTTCATCGTACCATATATCACCTGACGAAGCCGAAGCTACTGTGTTATCGAAACATGTCGTGTGTTTGAGAATTTTGTGGAAATCTTATCGTTTGTGAAGTTGTTACATTTGTATATGGATAAAATGAAACAAAATAGTCATTTTCATATCATGTCATGTTTTCAATTTGTCATGGAGATTTCAACATTAAGGTACAGAAATATAGTATTTGGGTTTGTTCAATCTTTCCTCTTCGTCATCTTGAATCTCAGTTCACCATCGGGTGCGTACATAAAAGAAACTTTATATTCAAGGGGTTTGTGGTTGAATTCCAGTTTGTAAGTTCGGATGAGCTGGAAAATCAAAAGAAATCATTATTTCAATGTCACAATATCTTTTTGTAGCAACTACACACCTTTTCCAGTTAAATTTCAGAAAGCGTCAATTTTATTTCAGAATAATCACTATTTCAGAAAGCGTCAATAATTGTATTTCAGGAAGCGTTAACTCAATTTCAGAAAGCGTCCATTGAATTTCGAATAATATTTTCTGAAATACTAATGACATACAGAGAAGTGCACAAAAAACGGCTAGGATTGTAACTTTTGAATTATTCTAGATAGGGTTCTGAAAAGTGGTAGGCAACTAGTATACCAAATTGCTCATTAATGAATGAAACAATTTTTCCTCCACCACTTCCAGTTTCACCGGAAACGACCCCAACTTTTGATTTTCAAATGGGACACCCTGTATTGTATTCCATAATCGGTTAGGGATTATCATGACGAATTCAACGATACCGGGTTTGATAGGGATATTTCAAACGATTACAAAGATATTTGCTTTCGAAGTTTCCATATGCGCAATAGGTGTGACTTCGCAACATCAAAACTTCTTTCTCTGTCACACTCATTGAGCATATGAAAACTTAGAACGCGAATATCTGCGTAATCGTTTGAAATAACCCTATCAAACCCGGTATCGATGAAATCGTTATGACAATCCCTAAGCGATTATGAAATACAATACAGGGTGTCCCATTTAAAAATAAAAAGTTGGGGTCGTTTCCAGTAAAACCGGAAGTAATAGAACAAACATTGTTTTGTCAATTGATGAGCAATTTGATATACTAGCTACCTACCAATTTTCAAAACCCTATCTCGAATAATTCAAAAGTTACAGTTTTAGCCGTTTTTTGTGCACTTCTCTGTATTCTGAAATACAATTGACGCTCTCTGGGATTAAATTGCCTATTTTTAAATACAATTGACGCTCACAAGTGACTATTCTGAAATACAATTTACGCGCTCATATATTCAATTGACTATTCTGAAATTCAATTGATGCTTTATGAAATAAAGTGACTATTATGAAATACAATTGACGCTTTCTGAAATACAACTGGAAAAGATGGAGTTATGAAGTATCTCTAGTTATTATACAGGGTGTCCGCTAAAAGGAGGTCAATCCATTAACCATATATTCCTTGAACAAAAATAATATGAGTTTCTAAATACCATTTTTCATTTTAGCCCTTCTTATTCGATATACAGGGTGTCAAAGTTGAAAATTAAAAACTGTTTTTTTCTAATTACTCGCGTAATTAATAAGATATCAATCTCAAAATAGGTACATTACTTCAGCACAAAGAGTTACATCGTGTGAGGAAAACAAAACAGAAAATAACTGTCAAATATTCAAAATACTGAGGGTCAAGTACACACTTACCCCCATATTTTTTTTGTACGTGCGCTAATGACTTCCTATCTATTTTTCTTCATGTGTTCAATCATTTTTGAGTATTTTTTGATTTTTGTAAAATTCCGATAAAATTATTTGTTTTTAAGATAATTCGAAAAGTACTGGTTATTGTTTGATGCCTTGCGGCTTACGGTAATCTCATAATGTTCACATACTCCTATTTATTTCGTCGAAATTGGAAGAGGGCGTATCTTATTACGTACGGAAAGGTGAATATGGAAATACCGGGTGCTCAGAGCGAATGTATTAAAATAATTTTTACACTTTTTAATTTTTTTTTTGTAGTATGTGAACATTATGAGATTACCTAAGCCGCATAGGCATCAAACAATAACCATTTCGAATTATCTTAAAAACAAATGATTCAATCGAAATTTAACAGGAAACAAAAAATACTCAAAAATGATTGAACACTTGAAGGAAAATAGATAGGAAGTCATTAGCGCACGTACAAACAAAATATGGGGGTAAGTGTGAACTTGACCCCCAGTATCTTGAATATTTGACAGTTATTTCCTGTTTTGTTTTCCTCACACGATGTTACTCTTTGTGCTGAAGTAATGTACCAATTCTGAGATTAATATCTTATCAAATACGCGAGTAATTAGAAAAAAACAGTTTTTAATTTCCAACTTTGACACCCTGTATACCGAATATGAAGGGCTAAAATGAAAAATGATATTTAGAAACTCATATTGTTTTTGTTCAAGGAATATGTGGTTAATGGATTGACCTCCTTTTAGCGGACACCCTGTATATTTTCATCAAGTAGAACCCGAGTCAAGAATAAAAAAACTCATTGTTTCTATTCGAGCACTTTTCAAAATCTATTTTTCTCAATACTTCAGTCAATGAACGCCCAATAAGGCGGTGTAGAGGACATAGAAGTGGACAGAATTTTCAACACTAGGAATATGTTGAAGTAGATAGGAAGTAAAAATTCCAAAACTACCCAGACTTACAAGGTGACTCAAGTACAGGAGATGACGTAAGGTACCTCTTTTAGATTATTCGTTCATATCTCGAAATTATTACCGAGAAGATTGTCTACAAAATTGTATCAGTACTTCCTGAAATACAAGTGACTATTCTGAAGTATAATTGAGGCTTTCTGAAATTGAATTGACGGTTTCTGGAATACAATTTGAAAAGGTGTACTGTGTATTTTCCAGGTTTCCACCGAAGTCTTCAACGAAGAAATCGCGAAAGATACACAGAATGTTTTCTCTTTATGCAGTGTGTCTCCCGAGTAATGAAAGCGACCCTGTATCTTTCGAAATTGTTGAGTTAGGATCACAGAATTATGGGTGAGTATATAATTCTGTGGTTAAGATATACCGAGAATACACACTATGATCAGATGCGGTGTCATCTTCAGTGATATACACTACTCGCCAACAGCCAGGGAATCAACTACATTTACGGAAAATTATATTAAGAGGAAAGATAGGTTGAAAATCATCTCGGATTCCACTAAATATTCATATTATGCCTGAAAAATCAAATTTACATGATTTGCTCTCTATAACTATGAAAGACAGGGAAGAAACTTACTGAAACAATTCTGTAGACAATTTCATCAGCTACAATTTTGAATGAAATGAACCATTTGCTGTGACGAATCGTACTGGAGATATGAATGATAAATAGACATAAGGAAACTTCTACATCGCTCACTGTACTGGCTCACTTTTTAAGGTCGGTGACTTTTGGAATTTCTATATCCTATTTACTTCAAACACATCCTCAGTGTCAAGAATTCTGCCCTCTTACTTTGGCCAGAAGAACTTGTATTTCCAAATCTGCGAATCTCCTGCCAAGGCACATCCTGGCTCCATAACCATATGGAAGGGAGGCAAAAGGGTGAAGCTTGAAATTTTCATCCCCTCCTTTCATCCACCTTTCTGGGTAGAACTGGTCAGCTTCGCTAACGTATTCCGCCATGTTTCCAGTTACCACTGTAGGAAAGACAACCTGAACCTAGGAAAATAGATGCTATCAAAATCTACATTTCCATGAACGAATCCATAGATCTGAAATCTATGACGAATCTTAACGAACTTTCTCTCATTGGTAATACCACAAGGGATACTATTTTATCGGAAATATTTGGCAATTGTTACTACAGCTTGTTGCCTGAAATCAAAGCAGCAAGCTGGAGTATGTCAATTCAGGAAAAATAGTATCACGAGTTGTATTCCTATGACTATTTCATGATTGAGGCATCATTCTGGCATTCAACTTTATTGACGTTTTAATTGAAAAAAAAATATCGCTGGAAAACAGGGCTGGTTGGTCACGTGTGTGTCAATTAGGCTTCTGTATTTGTTTTTTTTATGTTCTGGTTCCCACGAAAAAGGATATCCTGTAATGTTCAGAGAACATCGTGAGAGCCAAGGAAAGTAAGGTAGGAATTGGTGTTTTTCATAAATTTCTGGAGGTTATATGCCTCGGGGAAGACCTTCCTTGGCAATGTGTTCCAGAGCCTCGCTGTTCGTTGGATGAACGAGTCTTAGGAAAGACATATTCTGCAGGTCTCCAAAGTGACCACGAAGGGGTGCGAAGCCTCAACTCGACGGGTTAATCTCGCGGGGACTGCCAAAGGAGGTACAATTGTTGATATTTCAGAAGAGCATTGTCCATGAAAATATCTATAAAATAGAGCCAGATCGACAACTTTTTTACGGTGTTCCAGAGAAGTGAGTGAGTTTGTGAGCGAGGCATCACCCACGAGACGAATTACCCTTTTTTGGGCAGAATACAACAGTTTCAGGGTATGTTTGGGAACTGCACTCCAAATATGGGAACAGTTTTCCAGGACAGGTCGGGCCTGTGCCTTATAGATCATAAGCAGCTGACTGGAAGTGAAATAGCTCCTGGCCCGAAACAGAAAACCAAGGTGTTGGGATGCAGTTTTAGCACTTTTAGCAGAGCAAGCACGATAACATTTAGTAAACAAAAAAAGACAAGAGTGGAATAATCAGTGGCACACAATTCCAAAAAAAAATCATGCTGGTAGTCTCAAAACGTTTGATTTGTAAATGTTGTAAATAAAATATTCTTCTTCAACACGACTCATCATCACAACGAAAACATTACACCTCGATTTCAGACCTTTAAAATGGAGATATGGGGAAACGCTTGGACCTGTCTATTTTTGATTCGAGGAGGAACGATTTGTCTGCTTTCTTCATCCCTGTTACTTCAACCCTCTACCAGGGGGAAGCACACCCCTCAGGGGCTCACAACTTGTAAGTACGTGATTGGTGAACCCGAGGTACCCTAGCCATATATTCACCATACTTCAACTTGTCTTGGGTGATATATCCTCCTATCTCTTTCTATTCCAATCTATCCTAACAACCTTTCTTGGTCAAATTCTCTTTTCCTCTTCTCCTCCAAGCCCAACTTCACCATTAAATGGTGTGAGGAGGACAGATTCTTATTAAACATTGCCAAAGCTACTTTCAACGCAAATTTGCTGGTACATAAGTTCAATAATTCAGGAAGTTCCATGCAGATTTCGAAATTCACTAGGTATCTTTCGGAATATATATTTTTTTGAGTTTGGAAAAAATCCTAAGAGTTCTACTCACCCCTTTTGGTACTTTGTATCCTAGAAGAATCATGTCTTCTTGAAGTGTTCTTCCATTACCGATAACAGTTGAGTACACCCTATATCATGGGAATATAGTTATTAACGTTACAAGGCCGATATGTAGCAAATAACGGATGAGGTTGAATATTGTATAACAACCGAATCCGTAATTTGGGTATTTACTGGGTGTCGTTCGAGACCTTTCGTAATCCTGCTGAAATATTACATTTTGATTCCGAGGAAATAACAAACCACGTACCTCGTAATTCTACGAAAAAATCGCAACACCGTGTTGTTATGGAACAATTGACGGCCGTCGGCCGTTGAACAATCTTAACGGACGGAGGCGGTTAACATTAAGTTTTCATTGTCATCTGAATACCGTTGAATCCGAAAGATAAAGTGGACACACTTGAAAAGTTGGGAATATACGAAATAAGTTGTAATGATTGTGATAAAACATATATAGGCCAAACAAGGCGACCCATGAAAACAAGGTTCAAAGAACACATAGCACATTTAAATATATATGGTAGGTACGAATACCGTTGAATCAAAATAACAGAGAATGAGATTACGAAGAATCCAATCAAACTACAGTAATTATAATATGACATATGATTATTTTGGAGAAATCTATGCTACAGGGCAGTGTTCTTGGGCCGCTGGTATGTTTGTGTCATGTCTCATTCTTGTATGGATGTTATTTCGGTATGAACATTTCAACATTGTTAACTCCAAAACAATAATTTGAGCTATGTTCATCTTGACTTACCTGAAAACCTCTTTGACGAAAGCTTTCAAGAATACCATTTCTTCTAACTTGTTCGAATCTAGGGGTTCACGTGGATCTGGCATAACTCGTCTGAGTTCTTCGTACAATTTTTGCTGCTGGTCAGGTCTTGTTGCAATTTGGTACAAAATAGAACAGACAGCCATGGAAATCTGACGAAAAAAATTATATAAAATATCGAATCTCTCGAAATAGTATCAAAACCAAAGAGGAAGAACGAGCCATTTCAAAAATAGTGCAATCTTTCCGCTATTTTGCTATGATACTTCTTCGCTGGCACTCTGGCGCGTTAAATAATAATATTGTACTTATACTTCATCACCCTGCGTTGCATATTGTTGATTTAGGGATGTGAATATGGAAAGGGATAGAAGTCAAAATAGATTATTCTCAGGTATGATTGAGCTTCTTTGAAATACATGGTGTCTGGAAAAATCATGTCGTAGTAGGGATCATAGAGGCTATATTCCGAATTGAACTGGTCAGTAATCTCAGTAAATCCACCAACTCTGCTGAAAAAAAAACCTTTCAAACGGTTTCCATGGTATCAATGATACTCGAAACACATACTAATGCTCCTTTCCATACGTAAACGTCATTTCGGTGAATATGTTTTATACAGAATGGAACGATTTTTTTCTGTTTATTCATATGAAGTCAAACTGAAAAGAGGTAGAAAATAAAATGTTAAAAGTGTGTTGATGAATACACAACATAGAATATACTATGATTACGGAACTGCTAATATTTTCTGTGTTGTGTATTTATCAACACACTTTTATCATTTTATTTTCTACCTCTTTTCAGTTTGGCTTTCACTAACATTATTTTGGCTCATTCAACCTTTCCGGACACCCTGTATACTTATATGTATATGCAATCACAGCAAGGAATAAGGATCAAACATTCAAGTCCCCAAGTTATGTCTAATTTTTGTCACAGTTACTCGAACGTTCACCACTATATCTTTCTGAGAATTTTCAATCTTCTTATGATTGGGCATCCCATGAAAAATATGAACATAAAGGTATATTCAATATATGTACAGGGTGGGCCACCAGTAACGCCTCGGTCTCTGGAAGGCTAACCACTTATCTTCTTGGAATTCTTCCTCTCTAGGAAGTTGCATGTCAAAATAGGCTACCATTTGAAATTATTTTGAAACATACAGGATGTCCCCAAAAATCACAAAACACTGAAGTTGAACTTTTTTCAATCGAACACCCTATATAATATTTCATTTCGAGATTCTTCCTGGTGAGCTGATTTCAACAATCCATCATACTTGGGGTCTAGCAGTTATAATTACTGAGATATAGGGTGTGAGAAATCGAGATTTTCCAAGTTCAAGAATTTTTTGTGTCTAAACCATTCATAATTGGTCAAAACGGCTCACATGTCCATATCTCAACTTTTGATCAACTATCTACTGACATTTAATTGAAACAAATACAGGGTGGTGCAGAATTCAGAATCTTGATCACCCGGTATATGTCCAAATTAAATATCAGTAGATAGCTAATCAAAAGTTGAGATAGGGACATGTGAGCCGTTTTGACCAATTATGAATAGTTTCGACACAAAAAATTCTTGAACTTGGAAAATCTCGATTTTTCACACCCTATATTTCAGTAATTATAACTGCTATACCCCAAGTATGATGGGTCGTTGAAATCAGCTCATCAGAAATAATATATAGGGTGTTCGATAGAAAAAAGTTTAACTTCAGTGTTTTATGGTTTTTGGGGACACCCTGTATGTTTCGAAATAATTTTAAATGGTAGCCTATGTTGACATGCAACTTCCTAGAGAGGAAGAATTCCAAGAAGATAAGTGGTTAGCCTTCTAGAGACCGAGGCGTTAATGGTGGCCCACCCTGTATAGGCTCACTATATGAGAGCCTTGAAACTGTCTAATCTATTGTTCTCAAAAGAATAAAAAAATGACTCAGCTTGTTCTTCCCCTGTGACATTTGTAGATTTTTATTCAGAGTATTATAAATAGTCAGCTGCAAACTTCATTCTCGTGGGAAATCACCATCATTCCGTGCTCGTTAAACAATATACTATTTTGTAAGAGAGTTGAATATGATCTCACTCGAATAATTATTGATGGGTCACCTAACAATTAACACAATCGAAAAAATTATAATTTATTGAATTTGCTAAGAATAATTTTCTCTACCACTTCTTATGATCTCGATCAGAAAGTTTGAATTAATGTTTGTTCTTACTGTATCTATCCCAACTAAAATGAGATCTAGAGCTAAGATTGTGGCAGTTTTTGGGTTTGGTTCACTAGCCAGGATTCTTTCTACTAGCGATAAGTCTTTTTCGTCCTTAACCTCTTTTGTTTTCAATCGGGCCATTGCTTCATCTATATACTTTGTACAAATCCTGGAAAACAGAAGTGACAATATTTAATTCTCATCACGAATAGGTAGATACTATTCATAATGCTTCTTTGAAATCAGTATAAGCTGATATAATTCTAATTCAATCTCTTCTACTTTCATCCCATATAATTTTATTCGAACCAATATGATTTTTCTTTGAATAAATAAATTTTGTCATTATATTGTCTTCAAATCTTCATCTTCATTATACGAATAAATAATTCGTTATAATTATTTGTCTCACTCGATAAAATAATCCATGTTTTTCACATAATTGGTCCATATGGTAGTAGGAAAGTATCTCCAGAAAGGAAACCTCAGTTCCAGGAGTGCGATATTTCTCAGCGCGTATTTGGCCGCGTTAATGATTTTCTGAGGCTCAGAATCTGTTGGCAAATTGGCATCTAGGCAGCCTAATCTAGTGTCCAGAGAAACCCTTCCTATACCTGAGAACAAAATGGGAAATGAATACATATATTGCCAGCTTCCTATACAGATTGCTTGCTCAATCGTTACACATAGAACATATACATGGCAACATAGCAAGAGAGACTGATTCGGCTATTGTACGTCTGACCATTACAGTAAAACACAACCGCTATTCTTCGTAGCTGCCACGTTTCGTTGATACTCCTATATGTAATGATTCAATGAACAATCTGTATACATAGTTGAAGAATAAACTCACATTCAAGCGCCCATTTGTGAATTTCGTTGTCAAAATCATGTGGCATTTCTTGGTTGCTGTCTCGCATTTCTAACATCCTGATGGCAAAAAAAAAGAAAAATATTTTCAGTGTGGAACACCCAGTATTTTCCACATGTTTACATTTGTGCTTCAATATAGTTTCTACGCTTATATCTTATTTGGGCAATTGTATTGAGGCAAATAATTTGTTTCTTTGGCTTATGAATTAAATTTGCATAAAAAAGTTGGTTACCTTTGTATGAAGTCTTCTGTTACAGCTTCGATAGGCTCTATATATTTTTTGACAGTTCGAAGCTGCAATATAGGTTTCTGGACTTTGGTTCTGAATATCCTCCATGGCTCTCCATGCCTAAAAATAGCAGAACTTATAGTGATTTCAAGTATGGAAAGATTCAGGTTTTGTTCATTTTCGATATTTTACATAATCTGATCAATGTACCTGGACATACTAATGAATTTTCACATCAGTGTACCTGATATGAGACTGAGATGCAAGAAAATGTACCAAATATATAATAAAAGTCACATTATGATCCCAAATGAATCGATAGATCCGCTTCCTTACATTGTTAATCATGAATGTGAGATTATATACAGAGTGACCCATCCGAAAGCGGGCCAACCTCATGAGTTTTTCATTTATGGAGCGATTTTCACAATTTTTTTTTGAAATTAGACGAGAGGAAAAGTGTATTTTGGAGCTAAGTGGCATCCACTTCTTTCAAAAACCAAGGCCTACTAGATCACATTCAGAGGCTGAAAAATCCAAAATTCATATTAGTGATATTTTTAGAAAAAAAAATTCGCGTACACCACTGGTATAGGAGTCCTCTGAAATAGATCTGTACCAAGTTTCATGAGGAAATATTCAACATTAACAATTCAAAATTACATTCGTCTTCGAAAAACTGATCGTATTGATGGCATTGATGGTTATTCATAATGGTCCAAATTGGACCCCGCACGAAAACACGGTAAATTGGCTCTCGGTCGAATTGGCTGAAATTTTACTATGTTATTGTGGGATGACTCATTAGAAAAATATGTGAATTTGAAAAGTTTTGTATGTTTAGTTTCTGAGATATAAGCCGACAAAGTTCGTAAAAACATCGCATCGGGGTAGAATTGACAAAGAAAAAAACTGATCCTCTAGTATAAATAAGACATGATAAGCTAGAAAATGTGTTGATCGGAACTCAAATACATGTCTAGTTATGATCATATAAACTATAGTAAATCAGGGTGAATACGAGGCACGGCCAAAAAATTCATTTTTCGGAAAAAAAATTCGAACACTATTTCAATACCAACAAGTTATATTTTGATGAGACATTATAGTTTTAATCTATTGTAGACTTCGAAAACGTATTTTGATTCTTGATAACTATCTCTGTTCGAGATATATATATATATATATATATGAGATATGAAACTATAATGTCCCACCAAAATATAGCTTGTTGGTTTTGGAATAGTGCTCGAATTTTTTTTTCCGAAAAATGAATTTTTCGACCGTGCCTCGTATACACCCTGATTCACTGTAATTTATGTGATTATAACTAGACATGTTTATGAGTTCCGATCAATATATTTTCTACCTTATTTTGTTTCATTTATACTAAAAAACCAGTTTTTTTCTTTGTCAATCCTACCCCATACGACGTTTTTACGAACTTTGTCAGCTTATATATCAGAAATTAAACATACAAAACTTTTTGAACTCACATATTTTTCTAATGAGCCATCCCACAATAACATAGTAAAATTTCAGCCAATTCGACCGAGAGCCAATTTACCGTGTTTTCGTGCGGGGTCCTTTGGTAGGAATCGCACGACTAGCTGAGATATAGAGGGGGGGCGTTTGAATTGAGACACGCTGTAGAATCGTTAATGTTGAATAGTTTTCCATGAAACTTAGTACAAATTCATTTCAGAGGACGCCGATTCCAGTGGCATACGCGGATTTTATCTAAAAATTCGCTATAATATGGATTCTGGATTTTTCAGCCTCTGAATTTGATCTACTAGTCCTTGGTTCTTTGAAAAAGTGGATGCCACTAAGCTCCAGGATACACCCTTCCTTCCTCTACATTTCGAAAATAAATTCGTGGAAATTGCTCCATAAACAAAAAACTCATGAGGGTGGCCCGCTTTCGAATGGGTCACTATGTAAATAACAAATCCATGGATTAGTTCAGCTTCACAAATTCACTTATATTTTTGTCTCGAATTAAGTAGAATATTACGAACGTTATACAGGGTATGTCACGACGAGCTCACACTATCTTTTTATTACAAATATTTTCGAGAATGCAGTGCTGTCGCTTCTACTAGAAAGTAGTAGCAACATTGATATTTCAAATGAAAAACCCTGTATTTATCGCATTTTTAGATTCCCCCTAAAAAGCTGATTTCATTGATATATCATACTCGGGGTCTATCAAAGATGATTACAGAGATATAGGGTGTTCAAAATCGAGATTTTCCAACTTTAGGATTTCTTTGTGTCGAAACTATTCATTATCGGTCAAAATGGATCCCTTGTCTCTGTCTCAACTTTTGATTCAGTATCTACTGATATTTAATCGAAACAGATACAGGGTGGTTCAAGAACCAGAATTCTGATCACCTCGTCGTGATATAAGTACCCTGTATATAAAATGAAGAAAACCCTGCCAATACCATGCAGTGATAATTCATTTCAATCAGCTTCGGTATCTTGCTAGACATCGATATAGCTATCAAAGAATGTTGAAGAGTTCTCACTAACACATAGTGATTAGGAAGAGGAAGTCAACAACGATCGATGCTTTCCATCACATTCAAATTGGGTATGTTCCCTTTCCAAAGTTGGTTAACCGAATGGTTCACCGAAAATGGCAGGTTGACAGGTATGCCTGATAAATTCGGATTACATACGAAACGCAGGTGTGTAGTCACTTGTCAAAAAATGTTTCACGCGTGGGAGGTTATACATTCATCATTAATTTTTGTGAGAATGGAAGATTGTTCATCAGAGAATTATTATTCACCTATTTTATGCGTACTCTTATATTTTTCTCCACAATCAGAGAAATAGTCGGTAGTAAATCCCAAACGTTTAGTAGAATAGTAGTAGAAATAATACCACTACAAAGTTGTACTATACTATACTATGAGTATTATATAATGTTGTAGTGGTCCCATTTGATGAAAGTTGTGACTGGCGCCTATTTTACTAAACGTTTGGTAATAACTACCATCTTTTTTTTTCAGTGCTTTCCAAGATTTCCAAACATCCAACATTCAACCCAAATTATTGTCAGTTGTCATACTTTTCATACTTACCGAGATACCGATGATTTTTGACTGGTTCCTCTGGTAACATATGAGTAACCATTCTTTGAGGAATCAAGTTCCGCAATAAAGAAGTTTTCAGCCGGTGAATGAGGTGACCGGTGTACGGCAAACCACAACCAAGTTTGGAAACGGAACATACCCAAAGTGAGCTATGGTTATACTCACACTCCAACAACTCCAGCTTCTACTCCAAAAAAATCTTTCCTCACATCACTTTTATATTTGACTAGACATGGCATGGAGGGTCTGAAAGGGGTTGGCCCCTCTTGTCTGTATATTTTTTCGATTTCATCAGCATCATACAAAAATAACAAGTCCGGTCTACCGACTAGGTTCGATAGTTTCACGATTTTTCCATAATCCTGAAAACTAATTTTGTCAATTCCATATACTTTCAATTAAATTGAATAGGTATCAATCCATGAAAAAGAGAAGTTGACGAACTTCATAGGGAATGTATCTACTACAAAAACATTAACATTGTCTTGTGTGATTATTTGATTCCTTAAAAACAAGTACCTATAGGTAGTCAAGTATTCGTCTTCTTTTATATGGAAATAATCTTCATACAGTGTGAGTAATAAGGCCGACAAACTTCATACACAGATTCCTTACCACATTTCGAGGTGAGCAAAGCGAAACTTCAAAGAATTATCGTGATTATTATAGAATAGTACAGCAAGTTCAATTTTCTTTCCTACAGGAGTTCCTGAGAAATTAATAAAAAAATAATTTTTCTTCGTAATTTTGACACCCTCTGTATCTCAGAGAGGATTCTTTTCCTGACATACGTTGATATAAACTTGTCATCTCGATTTGAGGTTATGAATCCAAATACGAAGTATACCATGCAGTAAGGACTATTACTCAAAAAGATGTCCTATCAATCATGATGGTAAAAATTCATCATTCTCTGGGGATGCAGGAAAGCAATTCAAGATGGGTTTATACAGCAATTAAAATGAAATAAGGAATAAGATAAGATAATTTAAGGAATAAGGAATAATAAAATCCACTGTTTATACAGATAACTAAAATTGAATAATGATTAAGGAATCAACCAATCCAATCGTCATTGATGACAATGATGTTTCATGACCCGTCGAGTTGAGGCTTCGCACCCCTTCGTGGTCACTTTGGAGACCTGCAGAACATCTCTCTCCAAAGACTCGTTCATCCAACGAGGCATATAACCTCCAGACATTTAAGAAGAACACCAATTCCTACCTTATTTCCCTTGGTTCTCACGATGTTCTCTGAACATTACAGGGTATCCCTTTTCGTGGGAACCAGAACATAAAAAAAAATTTCACTTATTTCCTATATATGAACGGTTCCATGGAAATGCCCATGTTGACCTTCTTGATTGATTGATTGATTGTCTTTATTACCCCAAGAAACATCTCTGTTTATGATAGGGATACATAAATACATATAAAAAAAATAATAATAAAGGGTTAACTATAATGAATTCCACTCAGTGGAAACGAATTAATATTGTGTCTTATAAGATTAAAGTTATATTTCATTCCTAAGTAATCAAATCATGCCACATATTTTTCTTTATTCTGTTTTATTTGCTGTATAAACTCCCTTCACTCTCTTTGTAAGTCTGTGGTACCATTGAGTGGTACTCAATTCTATAGGGATATAAAAAATAATTCTAGGAAAAGCATCTGTGATAAAAAATTTGTATTTCAAAAAGAAGTGAGGAATCTGAAAACAGAGTTTGTCGTTCAAATTCTGACTTAACCATTTATATTCACCTGGTACAACAATAAGGAAACTCTTGCCATATCAGAAATGTCATACTGGCCGACTATGGGCATCAGCCTCCAGGTGTTTCCCAAAATTGGTATGGCTTTAGGGCCTGGTACTTGGGAATACGGCTTGGCCCTTTGTTTCTCTTGCGCCTGCGCTGGACAAAAGGTTTCCGGATCCGTAAGGAGGGTCTGAGATCGGTGCCTAATCAGAGTTTTCGTTATCTTCGTGATTTTGTTCGCCATCGTCTAGTCTGATGGAATCTGTGGTATGAAGAGTATTTATAAGGAATATATTGATACACATAGATTTTCAGGGATTCAGTCTATACAGGGGGGGCCACCAGTAACGCCTCGGTCTCTAGAAGGCTAACCTTCTTGGAATTCTTCCTCTCTAGGAAGTTGCATGTCAACATAGGCTAACATTTAAAATTATTTCGAAACATACAGGGTGTCCCCAAAAACTTTTTTCTATCGAACACCCTATATATTATTTCATTTTGAGATTCTCCCTGATGAGCTGATTTCAACGGCCCATCATACTTGGGGTCTAGCAGTTATAATTACTGAGATATAGGGTGTGAGAAATCGAGATTTTCCAAGTTCAAGAATTTTTTGTGTCGAAACTATTCATAATTGGTGCTAATGAATTGTTGATATGCTTTACCGTTCGTATACATATAGAAGAAACGCCGATTGTTCAAATTCGAGGGTCTGGAATCTGACTTTGATCCTAATCAGATGAAATATTGTTCTTTTTTGGTGAATACATATCATTAATACCTATATGTGCCGAAATATCATGCATTTCATAAGTGTATGTGATTAACTGGAGGCTGATAATATTGGTTAATAAACGAGTGTCAAAATATTTTCCAGTAGATTATGAAATGTTTCAGTAGATCAGTAGATCAATATGCAAATCAGGAGATCTACTGAAAATTCAATAGAATTGGCAACCCTGCAGCAGACAAAAAGTGTTTGCGAACGAAATGTACTTGCTTTCGGAAATAGTCGATGATTCGTTCGGAAATCAGAACGTAAAATGTGATTTTTTGTAGAGGTTGACAAAAATAGTAGATTGTTTTATTAGGATCAAAAGTGACACTTTGTTTGACAAGCGAATTTTGCATTTGCGAGGCGGAGCGTTTAGCGAAGCCGAGCGAAAGCAAAATTTGCAAGTCGAACAAAGTCACTTTTGATCCGAATGAAACATGCTATTTTTTCTGCAACCGAAACAATCAACTCAAATAAACATGTGAAGTAACCATCAATGCCGTGCCATATGTATGCAATGCAACAAATATTGACAAATAATCTATGTGGTGAGAATATTCTACCTGCACTAACAGCAGGTTAGGTTTTTTAGGATGATCGAATTGTAGTTTCAATATAAATACAACCACAGAGTGACATATTTGTCTATAGACCAGATGCTCTAATGGCAAATACCGCGCCAGTGCCAGGTATAGGAACAAGACGTGGAAAATGTTAGGTTAGTGAGCATATCAACAATGATAATAGTGATTATTTATTCCTCTCCATACTACACTGTGTTCGACTTGCGATAATCAAATGAAGCTAAACAATATCGTTGTTTGAGACAAAAAAACTATTGCTTGCCGTGATTATTCAAAAACAAGTTATATATCCCGAGAATAACGAATGAAATACAGATCAAGCAAGTATTTGAATCTTGAAGGCTTCCCTGATCAAAACAAAAATACTTAACTGAGATGTTTATAATTCCAATACTAAACTATGATAAGGTGTATTTATATCTCTAGCATGGGTATGAAATGCGCAATCTGCTGAAATCGGAAACAAATCAGGTATGCGTCTCAACCCAAATAACCAACCATCACAATGTTGTTGATTCTTGATGACGTCCAGTAGATCCTTTTTAGTTCCTAGGAGATAAAGTTCAACTTTAGCTCCTAGGAACTAAAATTCAACTTTAGCTCCTAGGAACTAAATATGTTGCCTAGCAACATACCTATTTTTGTGTCAGTAATAGAAACGTCAATTTAAGAGCTAATTTTGGTATCAAAATGGACGACTTTTGTGTCGGTTGCAGAAAAAATTATATTTTTCACTAGGCAGAAAATGTAGATTGACTGCCGTCAATCGACCTCGTTGCTGCCTAGTAAAACAAATAATCTTAAATAAGTATATCATTTTTTATTCCAACTTTTGGAGAATACTAGGTTCCTGATATATTCCATTATCTGATTTATGGTGAATTGAAAGAATTATTATTGTGTCTAAATTATTGACTATATTAGTACTCAATCAACGTCGCAACTTTGCTTCCACACAATATAGGCACTTTAATATAGAGTGTGTCAGTAAAGTATTAAAATAATCCATTGTTTCATACTTCTGAGATGATTATATTTTTGCATTCCAAACTCTCAAAACTCCACACAAATAGTTGAAGAAGAAATTCGTGATGAATATGGATGAATCCATTTGCTTCTATTCCAAACTTAAAAGTCTTGATTGCATTGCATCAGAATTAGATGTTGAAGATTATGAAAATTTTCAAAGGCAAAACAACTGGTTCTTGAATATATTGGCATTATCTATTCAATATATTATATACAGGGTCTACCAAAGAAAACTGAACCCCTCTCCCTGAAATTGGAAATTCTAATTTTTTTTATTTGCCGAAACTCATCGATTTCTCTTTTTGGGAAGAGCATTTCCGGAAGTCAAGGTAACTTAATCCCAGGCAGCACAGAATAATAATAATATAATATGATCATCCACCTTACCCCTGGCAATATCCCCATCTTTGAAATTTTGAATGAAACTACCCTACTTCCAAAATATCGTTTTGAAGCTTTTTTTACTACGAATACTTTGGTGCTTATATTTCAGGAATTGGTTGATATTTGATTGGTAGAAGAAGTCCCCTCGAAAGGCCATCAAAACCATATCAGTCTTCGACTATTTGCTGTGGGGCTATTTGTGCGAGTGGTATGCCACAAAATACTAGAAATTATGGAAGAATACCGATTAATAACATAATAATAAAATTCGAAAACCTAATTTACTTATTTTTTTGTGTTCAAGTAGGTAGGGGTCATTTTGAGCAATACCTATATATATATACATATTATGGAAGGGACACATAGGAGACTAACATTTTTACAACTAAACTGACTGTTACTTATTTTATTGTAAATTTAAATTTAAAAAGTTAGTTAGGAGAAAGACAAACATTTTCTAGATTGACATATTTTATCCCAGAGGGCGGTAGAATTTCTATACCATAAAATATGTTCTACATATTTCTCTCCGTATAGTTTTCAGCTAATACAATAGTTATAAACCACAATAACACACCTGTCAATCGACACACAAAAATCCTCTATTTTGTGAAAAGGAAGAAACAGACATTCTTAACCTTAACAATCCGAAGAATTTGAAGAATGTGAGCAATGTGACTTTGCGGAAATCATTTTTTTTAACCAAAAAAATTTAAAATTTAAATTTACAATAAAATAAGTAACAGTCAGTTTAGTTGTAAAAATGTTAGTCTCCTATGTGTCTACGTAATCAATTTTTTCACAATATTTCACCGTCTCTTATTATACAATTTTATATATCGAACAACGTTGTAACCAACCTCACCAAAGATATGTAAGTACAAGGCATGGCCCTGGTGGTTTTCCATTGTATTTACACTCTCTAATCATTGTAGTGTTCCTGATGATGGAAATAAACATTTCCGAAAGCTTGGATAAACTTTAAAGAGTATTTCTTTCACACTGCTGCTACCCCCAATATACACTGGTTTCATATATATATATATACATAGGTACTCAAGAATTTTTTCAATTGGAGACTGATTTCTTCTTGTTGGTCCAATACCAAAACAATGCTCAGAACAGAAGAAGGAACAAGTTACACCAGTTCGTGAACAGAACAGAAGAAGGAACAAGTTACACCAGTGCGTGTATTCTCAATGAATAAAAAAAATTCAAATTGACGGGTCACTGTCAATATAAAAACAAATTGGTTTCATTATTTCAGTATAGAAGCCCAGTTTTTCGTTGGTAGACGTAGACCCTGTATAAATATGAACTATTGTTGAATGTTGAGTTTATATAATATACAGGGTGTATCTAAATAACACCGAAAAACTTCAAGGGGATGTTCCTTGTGTCATTCCAGCAAATAAAGTTCATATAAACATATGTATCTTAACTTGCTCCGATTTTGGGATACAGGATGTTGAAGTTGGAATAAGTATTAATTGTTCTTATTTATGACCTCTCTGTATAAGCTTTCATGTGCCAAAATTCAGTATGGTTGGAGACTGATTAAGCCCTGAAATTTCAAAATGATTCTACGTGGGGTTATTGAATAATCTCAATGAAAGTCTTGAAAACACCAATACATTAAAATTTGGAGTCAATTCAAATTTTTATTGTTTTCTCAAAAACTAAGCTAGATACAAAAATCACAGAGAGGATAAAAAAGTTGTTATTTCAATAGTTCAATCTAATGAAAATATGAAACTCAGAAAAACCGCTGGCGTACAATGACATTCACCATAAATATCGATGAATTTTCCTACTGTGACGCCACTGGAAATATTATTTCGAATCTAATTGAACAAGAAGAAACTCCATATTACTAAAAACAAAACCACAACGTTTTATTGAAATTGATGGAAAGATAACTCAGTAATGAATAAAAAACCGATTTTTCATGGAAATATTGATACCCTGTATCTCGAAGACGAAGGAAGATAGGACACATGTTTATATGAACTTTATTTCCTAAAATATCACAAGGAATCGCTCCTTGGATTTTTTCGGTGCTATTTAGATAAACCCTGTATAATATAAATATATAATTTGTGAGTAGGTCAATGTCAGGAACTCATTCTAAAAATTCAGAGAGTACAGAACAAAATAATCATTGGTAAAAAACCAGTATTGGTCATAGCTTTTTATCATTCAATAATGAATATAGCGAAAATATTGATGAATCAACGGATATCTTTGGGATTCCTCACGTAGATAAGTACACTACCTATCTCCAACAATCTACAACCTATGAGATTCAAAAAAAATCTCATACCTACCCTCTCGGATTTCTTTTCATACAATCCAAAAGAAGAACATAATAAGAGACGTGATACACTATCGTGATCCAAGGAGTAGGTATAGGTATACTAATGAAAACAATACCGAAACCTAATTTTTCATTTTATGATTCAGTTAATATACTGTATGTTTCGTGACACCCCCACTATTGCCATCACTCCACTGAAAAAACTATAATTTTTTTGTTATTATACAATTTTATCTGGATAAAAAATCTACTCACACCTGGGATTCACATAAAAATCACCCACTATAGTCTTCTCCACCTCACGAAAATTACCGCTTGAAATATTTGTATACATGTAAATATGAAAAAAGTGAGAGGGACACCTTGTTCTGGACGAGATATACTGAATGATGCAAGCGCACATCAATGAAGAATGAATATGTTGTGCCCTACTTGCATTTGCTTTCTCTTTAAAAGAGGTGCTTGGCTCCATTCCAGTGGAGGTCATCCTAAGCATGTTCTAGTCATATTCATCATGCATCCTTAATTAAGTATTTTGAAAAATAGATTATCGCTTCTTATAACATAACTCTATTTTTGAAGAATCTTGACCATGATCCTGTGGTACATTATTTCAAATTGTGATGGAACAAATAATAGTGGGAGAGCCGACTGCAAATTTCTACCGTCATGTCATGATAATGGGCGAGTGGACTGATAATGAATTATTGGCATTCAATTACTCCACTGTGTCGTTAGGAACTTGCATTAATGTTGGCAATACTTCTGGTGACGCCAGTTTTTATGCTGTTTCGTTATTGGTCAGATAATCTTCCATTTCCACTCATGAAGCAAGGTTGTCAAGTCACCAATTATAAGCAAATTATCAAAGAGATAATTAAGAGAACAAATAACTCAAAGTCTCACTCCAAGTAAATTTTAATAAAATACGATACGTGCTACATGTTTCGACTCCTAGGAGTCATCATCTGGCTAAAATACAAAAAACTTATAAATATACATGTTTCGACTCCTAGGAGTCATCATCAGGCTAAAATTCAAAAAACTTATAAATATAATTTATAATTATGACTCCTAGGAGTCGAAACATGTAGCACGTATCGTATTTTATTAAAATTTACTTGGAGTGAGACTTTGAGACTTTGAGTCCTGTCGTTGAATAAAACATAAAAGGTGGATCTCATGACATAATAGTTCATTCATGACTTTTTAGAGCAACCGGCATGTGCAAATATTTCTTGTTCCCCATAACAAAATAACATGTGCTGAATGCTGAGAACTGACAAGACCACGCCCACAAGTCGTGCGCGGGGTTATCACGTTCACCGATTCAAATATCCTCTAGTGTGAATTAAAATAATTATTATTCACACAATTTTATAACAATTAATAAGCCACAAATCATAAAGGGGCATTCTGAGACAATTGAATTTTCATTGCTAATTAGGAATATTACCAGTACTCCATTGAGAATTTATGAATTATTGAATACCTAATATTTCAGAAGTTTCCAATAGTATTTCAACACATGACAACTGTGTTATGGTCTAACTAACCCTACTTACGAAATCGTGGGGTAAGTATTTCCACTGGCGGAAAATTTCTAGCCGTTTGAAAATCACCGTGGCATTATTGATGATTTTTGCACCTAAAAATCGACCGAAAAATTCTTAAAAAATATGAAATTGAAAGGAATTTGAGTGATGATCCTATTTAGGAAATAAAAAAAATTAGTCCACTCGTCTATTGTTATACTTGGTCAGTTATACTTGAAAGAACATAAAAACAGACTCACACCACCGCTGATACGAATTTATTCTTCAGTTTTTTAGGTTATGACAGTAATTCATAAAAATCTTACTACGAAGTAACAACAATTATGTCTTGTTTTCGTGAATAATTATTATATTCACACTTATGCTGATATTTTATCCGACTATCAATGAAAAAAATTAAAATAATAATCTATTTACGGAATAACTAAAATTGTGCAGGAATTTTCTATAGGTCTATAGTTCCTATAGGTAGTATTTTTCCCGTAGATTCATAATAATATATGACCTCAGATTTTTGATAATTATCATCCATGGTGAGTTATTCTCACAATCACTCAACATAGGAAAAAAATAATATTCCGGTCCTGATATATAATTGGTTTCGTTCAGAATATTCCTTGTTGAAGCTTTTGAGTTTAATTTATGTATTTACGTACCAAATTTGAACCCAATCGGGTTATCCCTGTATTTAATAAAGCAGATTGAATTTTCTGTCAAAATCCATAAATCACTCTGTATGTCAGTACGAAACGGTTTTGGACATTTTGCTATCATATGGGCATTCCCTATGTATATGTACGCTGCCATAATTCAACCGACCCTGTAACTATCTTACGGTTCACGAGATCTCAATGATGATACTCGAATTCCAGACACCCCTACCACCCTGTACATAGGTACAGGAAAAAATACAATCTACTTTCTTCGTATTACGTCGCAAATTAATTATTTACGACGTCTCAGAAAAAACTTCGGGATTCTCAGGACAAGAAAGGACCTATTAGAACTTTTATTATTATTAAGTATATATTATATATATATTATTTTAGAATATTGCTGTGGATGCTAGAGAGAAATTAAAACAAAAGTGAGCCAAGATGTAGACAACTAACAAAACAGTACCTTTGGTCGTCGCGCCATTCCATAGCCCTCTCTGCTTAGAGCGCAGTTGCCAAGCTGCAAAAATACAGTATATTTGACGACTTAATCTATATGGTTTCATCTAACTAATTTAATCAATGGTTGAGTTAGGTATAATACAATATCCAATGTAACTTTCTGAAAACAGTGTGAATAGATATACAGGGTGTCCCTAAACGGTCTGTACAGAATCTCAGCACATATTTCTGAGGTCAAAATGAGCCGATTCAAAGCCACTTACATCAGTCCGAAATTGCTCAGTCTTCGAGTTACAGAGTGGTGAATTTAAAGCATAAAAATCGAATATTTCAGAATTTATGAACAATTTTAAACATATTGCTTCAAAAATTGGTACATACCCAGCCAACACAGATACATCTCTAAGATATCACTGCGATCTCACTTCGTGAACTGCGACTCGCATCGTTATACGTCGCACAGACGTCTCAGCGACTCACTTTTGTCACACTCGTGATGCATGCTGGCGACGTCTATGCGATGTAGTTCTGAGACAAGAATTATCTCAAATATTCAGGACATCGTGATATTATCCATAACATTTCGTTGTGACATTATTATTGAATGAAAAAAACGAAATGGTGGATCCAATATATTATAACGGACGATTTTTGTGATCATGGGACGATTCGATTCAAATTTGTTATGTGGAACTTCTCTTGGCTGAGGATTATGATTCTCTTGTCCAACTTGGGAAATTCAAGATGGCGGCGACTCCAATATGGTAGTAGACTATTCGCGGTTCTCCAAGGTCATTAGATGTTGTTCTGATAACATTAAAAACTACGGTAAAACAAGTCTGACTTTTAATCTATGCCGAGTATTAGGATGTTTTCCAATAGTTTTTAATGTCATCGCAACGTCATCACATTGGCGACCGCAAATAGTTTTCTGATTATGTATGGTCTGATTGGATTCAAAATTGGTACCTGTCTGGCGGTTTTCGGTATCATTGATTATGATTCTTTTGTCGAAAACAAGGAATTCAAGATGACGGCTATACAGAAATCCAGTACACCGAAGAAAAAAAAGGACGAACACAAAATTGGAAAGATATATGGAAAGTTGCATATAGCATATAAATGATCCAAAAGATGCATCACCATGAAACATTTCCGTCAAAAATGAGGGAAAAATAGTACAATACACACAATACACAATATGACCACATGCATTTCCGTACAGTTTGAGGCCTTATATAATATGGCATGTCGGTATAACATCGCAGTTATATCTTGATCCAGATATTTCTGATTTATACATTATAGGGCTATCACATTGTGGTATCGCAGTATAATATCACCAATATGACATCCCAGAGATATCTAAATATATATATATTGATGTCTAAAGGATAACGCAGTATGACGTCTTTGGCAAATAACAATTTGACATCGCAGAGATATCTATGAATTCAGCTATAACTGATTTAGTATAATGACAACAATATGACATTGCAGGGACATCTATCTCCGGCTTTTATTGATTTTGATATCTAATGGGTGTCGCTGTGTGATATCGCAGTAATGTCAACAATTTTATATCGCAAGGACATATAAACTCCATTTTCAACGATATTGATATCCCTGAGATGTGGATGTTTACCCAGACTGGGTAGCGAAAGTAGAATATAAAATTGTTTATTTGGTTCGATATATTATTATTCCATATTGAAGTATTGCGCCAAGAAAAATTTTCTAGGCTGATAGTGTGTTAAACTACCTTTCCAGCCAAATAATCGCCTACAAAACATGATTATTTGACCGGGTCTCGAAATTTGATTTTAGAAAGTCTGGCAATGCTGCTTCATCACTGACATGTCATTTCTCAATATTGCAGCAATGCCAAGTTTCAAATTCCGTTAGTAAATTACCTAAAAAATCATAGCTTATCGGGAATAACTAAATAACCTACAATAACGCGTTGAAACTGAAACGAAACGTTATCGATATCTGAATTATTCGCTCTTTCATTCATGTAAAATATACGTAGGTTTTGTTAGAATGATTAAAAATACATAAAATCATTACTCATAATGATGTGTTTGACCGTTTGACCAACATTTTCATATGTGGCGTCAGTATTGATATATTCGATCGGACAGTAGTGGCAACGTTGCAAATTCATTCGGTAGACTATCTGGGAAGAGGCAAACGTAATAATGTCGGAATATTCCGATTTTTCGTGAAAATATCGTGTTTTGTCTCGTGAAAAACTATCACACCACAAATTACAATATACAAAGTGACGGATTACATCGTGCTGCGATTTTATCAGTTACTTTCCAACCAGTTTTCGTAACCAGCACTCGATAAGGTAAGACGATTTGGATTTGTGTACACTAAACATGACGTTTCTCCTCGAGAAAAAGGTTATAGACTCGAACGGAATGTGCTATTCTATATTATTTTCCCCTTATTATAATACAAATTGATAACTACCAATTTGTAGTCATATTGTACCTAGATACTTTCACGAAGAATCTGCTGAAAAGGAGCTTTTTAATATTTGGGTACACCCACTCCGTTTATTTGAATAGAATAGAGAGAACTATATATTATAAACTACCTGTAATCAAGGACGATACTAAAAATTACCTACTTATTATACCTACCTGTAGGAATGAATCTCTCATAATTAACGACAATATT